TGTTTTGCCCTACACGAATGGTCAGGGGAGTCGTCTAATAGTCACTCGGACCGTCAAGATGGATAGGCTCGAGTGTTGTGGTTTGTTTGGTTTGGCCGTTCAACCCGTGAAGGTGAGCCGAGCCAAATGGGGCTTGTGTTAGGATGGTTGACTGGAGGTAAAGTGGGACGGTGAGAATGGGCTGGTTTTGCGGGTGCGGGCTTTTTGTCACTGGATCGTCTTGATCTCGAGGTTGGGATGGATCGACTGAATGGTGTTCTGTTGGCATATCTTTATCTCCATATGTTAGGACAGAATCGTTAGCCGCCGATGAGCTTAATGGACGCGGCCTTTTACCGGAGACCGAGGGTCGATGCTCTGGTGTGTGGAAAGGTTGTATGGATGGAATAGGGGTGCGGAACCGATTGGGAGGTACCTGAGCAGGCAGAAACTCTAGATCATAGAATTGACTCACCTTTTCTTTAAGAGACTGCTTTTCTTCCCTGATGGATGCGTTTTCGGTCCGGATTGCATTGTTCTCAGCTTCCAGTGCGGCCACCTTGTCTGAATTTTGTTGCATGAGAGCGGTTAGAGCCTCCAGTCTGACCTCGAGGCCGGGGTTAGCGTTGTCCGAATTGTCAGCCATGGAATATTTCTCTACGAATCAAGGTTCATTAAGCCGAATGATTGCTAGAGGCCTCACGGTGGGCGCTAAACTATAGACGTAAATATCTACCTGTACGTGATCCCATGAGGTTGAGGCCACTAGCAATCCGCTGCACCTGCACATGTAGTGAAACAAATGCGTGAAGCAAACGGAAAACACCGGGGTGGTGTTTGTCATAGGCACTCCGACGCTCAAGTCAGCAAGGCTGAAAGAGGCTAGTGTAGTGAGGGCTAGGGAATAGAGAGGTTACCGGAAGTCTAGTCGGGGACTATGACTACAGCAGTGAAGTGAAGCTCTCAAGTAGGAGCTTCCAGTGTGACGGTGTAATGTAATTTGTCTTGTGAGAGGGCTGGCCTCTATTTATATAGTGACTGTCTGTTCTCCCAATCCTTGTGGGAGTAGGAGTCCTAGTATGACTCTGATACGAACCCTAAAGGAGTTAGGGCGATGGTGAGCTATCTTACTAGTGTTCGAATAGGAAGGTGATCCCGAAAAGGAAAGTAACTTCGAGTAGGAGATTGATCAGGCATAGGAAAGTGATCCGTGGGGGCCGTGGGCTCTGAACTCGCTCATAGGTCCAGGAAGTGAGCTGGGATTGGGAGGCTTGTGCCTAGATGGTTTGGGCCGGCTGTATCTTGAATCAAATGGGCCTGCACTGGGATTGGGACCGGTCTCTTCCACACAATCAGACCTGTTTTCCTATTTGGGCTAAGGGCGATTTTTGGCCCTAACAGATATGATAAATTGTCTTACAAAATATGGTACGTTATATATAGGTCATAATTTTGTTTTTCTTTTAAATTCTCAGACGTAATCTAGCTCTTACTTTTAAGTTTTGCTGTAAATCTTGTCTATTGTAGGCTTCAATGTATCAGAAATTGCATGTTGCAGAATCAATTCACGTCGTGGTTCTGAATGCAGAAGAGTAAAAGAATATGAACTATATAGTGATCCTAATGATTATGTGTTTTCCGATGGAAGCCATCAATCTGAACATGCTAATTCTATATCGTCCAACTTCTTGTGGAATGGAGGGTCAGGTTTTACATGGCCTCTTAGCATGAAGCAACTTTATGAACTCAATTCCACCTTCGCCATTGAGATTTTATCAGAAGGCAGACTTCAGCCACATATCTTATGAGTCAATAATTTACTATAATTAATTTATAGAGAGAGATATTTTGAGAGAGATAAGAAATTACTCTATAATTGTACGGTGCTAACGCCATTTGTATGTGGGGTTTTTAGCTTGCAACTTGTGGGCATAAATACGGATATGGGTATTGTCAGTTCCAACTAGCTAAATAATTGAAGGTCAAACCTACTAAACAACATAGACTAACTTTTTATATAGTATCTAATGAGTATATAATTAGTTTGTTTAAGATTCTAATATATGTTTTAAGTTATAATAAATTAAATATATTAGATATAGTTCCAAAATGTTTGTTAAATTGTTTAATTTAAATCATTAAGATAGTTCTTAGGTTAATTACTTTCTTTAATTTTAATGGATCAACGGTCATATAGTAAAATAAAAAGTACAGTTAAAGAAGAGTTTTGGAATTAAGAGTAACATGAGAAAGATATAAATTAAGAGTACCGTTAGATACATATTAAAATTAGATGATTTATTATAATCCTATAAGATTTATTTAGTAGCTAGATCAACTAAACAAATCATTGTAATGATCATATGCAGAAATAATCTAAGTGCGTTACAAGCTGCAAAAAGAATTATGGAAGCTCAAACAATTGCTTCACATTGTAAGGCCCTGTGACATTTGGTACTCCGATCCAAATAAACTCGTCTAATTAGTTGTTTATCTGTTGTGTGGTGTGGCCACCATCGAGGAAGACATACTCACTAGGGTTTGAGCAGAGTGTATAAGCATTTTTTCCATTGAACTGTCCACTGCCACAACATGCTTTGATCCCTTCTTTAAAACCTTCATGACGCAGTCATTTAATTCAATAGATAGATATATATATAATATATTATATATATATATTATTTTTATTTTTTTTTGTTACTGGGGTGTTTAGTCTAGGCCAGTTTGGCTTTCCAAACAGGACAAGTCCTGTGGTCCGTTACCAACAATATTAACAACCGTTCTTATGATTTGAATCTAAGATTACAGGAGGAGCAAATCTCTTGACCCCAAATCTTTATCATTGGGTCAATTCATTGTTGGTTATAGTCATAAAATATTAATTAGTTCAGTATATGTTTCTTGTACTAATTAGGACGTTCAGAACCACACAAATTCAGTTTTTATAATGGCTAATTTTATATAACATACCATCTTTTGAAGCACTGTTAATTCTATAGAGAAGTGCATGATAATAATCAAATATGGAATATCTGAAACCAGTTAAACGTGTCTCTTAACTTCTTGAAGGCCTTTGAAAGGGCTTTGTTGTGTAGTGTTGCATGCACTAAAAAGTTATTGTTACAACTTCCATTTAGTTGAGGGAAAAATTGCTTAAACAATGGTCCGACATTCTGGAATGCAAATTTCCTTCCGCCTAGGTCATATATTTCCTGCAAGGCAAAAAAAAAAAAAATTAAGATAATTTTCATTAAATCTCTCTATCTTGTTTGTCTTGTCTAGCCTTCTGGTTCCTATAAGCTCACATGTTGAGTCCTGGCAGCTAATAACAAACATGTTGCCATATTTGTGTTTGGTGATTCACTCCACGATGCTGGAAACAACCTCTTCTCAACAAAAATGGCATACGACTGGGTAGTAACTAATCCATTAAATGTAACTGCAACTTTATTTTAGGTGCATGAACAAATTTAATTTAATTTCAAGATTTATATATAATTTGGCTCAAAAGTGCGCGCGGTCGTTTGATTAGTAAGTGAACTTCACGTGCTTACTTACCTTTCAACTCATCAGAATTCTGCTTCCCGAGGCCATGATCTGTTAAAGCTTGAATTACAACTAAGTACTACTAAAACTAAGACCTTCGGTAACGTAAACAATTTATCACATTCAACATAGAATATGTATTAATTCACAGGGAAGACTCCCTATTATAAAAAGATAAAGCAAACTCTTCTGTGGTGGTGAACTGAAACTTAAATAGGGACCCTCGACAATTCAGGAAAACTCTCCGTCACCGTTTATGTGGACATCATCTAATGCAAACCTCTACAAAAGAGATAGATTGATTCATATATATATATAACACTTCATATTTATATTAAATGTGGCATACACACATTTATCTTATATATGATGCTAACTCATTTTCTATATAAAATATAGATTTGACTTAATTGGCACAAGTCCTTCCAAATCAGTTGGCTAGTCAAACTTACAGGATTGTTAGTTGTGGGCAATTATTTTGCAAAATTTCAACTAGATATGGTTGTCGGTATGCCCGGGTCAATGATCTTAGTTTATCTAAAAGGAAAAAAAAAAAAAAAAATTAACTCATGCGAACTTGGGTCCCAAGCGAACAACATGTACAATAGACCGGTGTGTTTCATTTGGTATTAGAGTTAGAGCAGACCCAACTTGTGGGCTCAATATCTTAAAGAGTGGACAGTGTTGATCAAGCTGATATTATGCTGGAAACTGCATGTAGGATGTCAAATTTTGGAATCTGATGCTGCAAGGTTGGCGGCAAAGTTTAAATTTTTGCTGTAGTATTTTGGTTCTGCTGTAACTCTTTGGAGTTGAATCTTTTAATCAATGTAATTTTAATTTAGGTGAATTCAGCTGTATATCAGCTGGTTAGGTGCTTAGTAATGTGATATGTCTGTAGTAGTTAGCAAAGTATGGTTGATTTATTTTGATTGTAAATCTGCTGCAGAGTAGGTGTAACAGCAGTGCAAAACCATGTGTATTATTTGCATTATTGTTCAATGAATTCATAAATTTCCCGTATGCAGTTTTTTTTTCAGTGTGTGCCAACTTAATAGCAGTGCTTTTCCTTAGGATTCTCCAGCCTAAAAACCTTCAGACGGGTTATTTGTGACATCCCACATAGCTTTAAAAGCGACAAGTGAAGATGGTGAATTGTGACCGTGATGTTTGAGATGGAGGTTTCTGGTCTTTTTAAAACTTAGTGGGGGTGACTGATAGTCACAATTTAACACATGGTGTCTAATTAATGTACGTTGCAGTCTCCTTTTCAATGTAGAAAATAGATTTTAACAAATTGACACGTGTCCTAACAAACTAATTAGCTAGTCAAACTTTCAGGATTGTTAGCTGTGGGCAATTAATTATACGCATAAAAAATTTTTAAATTTAAACTTAGTTGTTTATTAGTACTACGCTTGATCTATTTCCAAGATGAGAAAAAGTGAAAAGCAAACTTCCCTGGAATAACAAACATGTTGCCGTCTTTGTCTTCAGGGAAAATGGGACCAGCGGCAGCTTCATCTATACGGAGTCTTCTCTACAGATTGCTTCTGTTGTACTCTAGCCTTCTTATTGCTCCAGCAAGCTCTCAAGGTGATGAGACCAGGCAAGCTAATAACAAACATGTTGCCATCTTTGTGTTTGGAGATTCGGTCTACGATCCAGGAAACAATAACTATCTCTATATTGGCATTGAAGGCAAGGCAAATTTTACACCGTATGGAGAGAGTTTTTTCAAATATCCGACTGGAAGATTCTGCGATGGTCGTACTGTCCCTGACTTTGCTGGTATGGTAGCCAGCTAGTGAATTACGATTATGTCGAACCGTCTCAGAATTAATTGTGTTGTTTATTTAAATAATGCAGCAATATACTCAAATTTACCACTTTGGGAACCATACTTACAACCTGGAAGTCATAATTTTAGCAGTGGAGCTAATTTTGCAAGTGGTGGAGCTGGTGTTCTTGAAGAAAGTAATCCAAATACGGTATGTACAGCATTCTATTCAAATGAATTACTATTATTGAGGCAAAATATATCTTGACAATGCTTTCAATTTTTATAGCTTTACAGCCAAAAACAGCTAAAGTATTTTAAGGAGGTGGCCAATTTACTGAAGCAGCAACTCGGTGATGCAGTGGCCAAAAAGATACTAGCCGATGCAATCTATTTGTCTAGCTTTGGAGGCGTTGACTACATGTCTTTCATAAATAGTACTTCTAATCCTACCGAATTACAACAACAGGAATATGTAAACATGGTGATTGGCAATTTTACAGATGTTATTAAGGTAAAATTTTGCTCAGCAAACTTCTGTTATCGAGGTTTCCCATGTTATTCTTCTATATATATATTTTTCTTTTTCTTTTTCTATTTTTTATGAAGGAAATATATGAAACGGGAGGAAGGAAATTTGCATTTCAGAATGTGGGACCTTTGGGTTGCCAACCAGAGTTGAAACAACAGTACAATCTTAGTGGTGGTGCTTGTGTAGAAGTGCTCCAAGCAATCGCTAGTCTTCACAATAGTCTTCTGTCTAATGTCACTTCGGAGTTGCAAAGCCAATTATCAGGATTCGAATATGTGATTTTTGATTTCTTCAATTCACTTAATGATATGATAAATTATCCTACAAAATATGGTACGTTATATATAAGTCATTTTTTTTTCATCTGATTTTTTATTTCTTCAATTCACTTAATGATATGATAAATTATACTAAAAAATATGGTACGTTATATATAAGCCATAATTTTTTTTCTCTTTTGAATACTCAGACGTAATCTCGCTCTAACTTTTGTTGTAAACCTTGTCTATTGTAGGCTTCAATGTGTCAGAAATTGCATGTTGCGGCATCGGTTCACATCGTGGTTCTGGATGCGGAAGAGTAAAACAATATGAACTATGTAGTGATCCTAATGAGTATGTGTTTTTCGATGGAGGCCATCCTTCTGAACATGCTGATTCTATATTATCTGACTTCTTGTGGAATGGAGGATAAGATTATACATGGCCTCTTAGCATGAAGCAACTTTATAAACTCAATTCCACCACCGTGATTGAGATTTTATCAGAAGATAAACTTTTGTTTACCATGTAACCCATCAAGTTAAATTGGACAGACTACAGCAACGTATCTATGCTTAGTCAATAACTTACTGTAATTTATCTCTAGCTGGATTGATCTCAAGAGATAATTTTTGAGAGAGATAAGAAATTACACATTCAATTTATGGTCTATTTTTGTACGGTGCGAACTCCATTTTTATTTTGAATTGTTAGCTAGTCAACTTATGAGTTGTTAGCTGGCAATTTGTGGGTATTAACCTTGGGTCACCTATCACAATAACATTATGGTTTATTTGATCCTTTCGACTTGTAGAGCATTTAATGGAATCTAGAGATTACTATATATGCACACAAGCTAGCTTGGACACCTGAATTATAAAAAGACAAAAACACTTGAGCGCAAATACGCATAAATGTTTTGTCTCTTTCAACTAGATGTAATTGTTGACATGTCAAGCTCAAGGGCTGTCATTATCAATTACAATACTTTCTTAAATATATCCAACAAAATATTTCCAAAGATAAGGAAAGCGAAAGGGAAACATATCTGGAATAGATTTGTTCACGCCAAATGGTCAACTTCAGCCGCTATCCGGAGTCTTCACAGCATCTGCCTTTCCTGTGCTCTAGTCTTCTTGTTGTTCCAACAAGCCCCCAAGGTGATGAGTCCAGCCAATTGGCTGATAGGATATCACATAGAGATCTCACACCCACCAAGTTTGATACTTAAGACTAGGGGTTTTCTCATTTATCAAACCAGTCTTTTGGGTTAGACTCTTCCTTGAGCTTGAGTTCTATCATTGATGTTTTCGTTGAGAGTTAAGTTGCAAAAAGGGCTACCAATAGGCTAGATTAAGGTGCAGTGTGCTCTCCTTGGAAGGAGGTGTCACATCAAATAATTGATAGGTGAAGCCGCCCAAATCGAATAACTGCCCAAAGAGGAAAAGGCTACCGTCACACTCTCCTTGAGAGGGGGTGTTGCATCGAATAACTGAAAAATAAATAAAGCTGCCCAAAGGGGAAAGGTCTACCATCGGTTCAGTGTCGATAGAATGAAAGCTGTCATGGACGTCGGCTTTTGAAGAGGTCAATATCGATAGAGTAAAAGCTGTCGTGGATATCGGCTCTTGAAGCCTTAAGGAGATGCAATGTTAAGATCCCACATCGGGATCTCACGCCCACCAAATTTGATACTTAAGCCTAGGGGCTCTCTCCCATACCAAGCCGATCTTTTGGATTAGACTCTTTCTTGGGCTTGAGTTCTATCATTAGCTAATGACAAACATGTTGCCATAATCTGTGTTGGGTGATTCAGTCCACAACGCTGGAAACAATAACTATCTCTGTATCGGAATCGATGGCGAGGCAAATTTTACACCATATAGAGACAACTTCTTCAAATATCCGAGTAGAAGACTCTGCGACAGCCGTCCCTGACTTTGTTGGTTCAGTACTAGCTAGCTACGACATTCGGCCATGAAATTAATCTCAAGTTTATCAGCCGAAACTTAGAGATCATTGCTTTGGGTCGAAAAGTGAAAGAGTTTGTTTCCCCAATTATTCTTTATTTATAGGCTTATAGTCCTTATTCAATTTTGTTATTCAGGTATTCTGGTATATCAAGTTCAGTTATTCAGAAGACTTTTCCTATCATTGAATTATTCAATATTAGAACTTTTGAAATCGGATCCACGTTGCTTCCGGTAATTCAGGATTAACACACGAATATTATCAAATTTCAAAGTGGGAAGCCAGCCTCTCTGGATCCAGAGTACTGCTTAGAATAGAGTTTTCCTATAAAAAAAACTCAACAATATTTAGCTAATTAGTTCAATGGGATAATAAAAGCATGCTTATATATACATCTTATGAATGTATTGATCACATCGGCAGATTGCTAGGACATTTAAGTTAGTATATAGATACAACGTTCATGGCAAGCCTAAATTCGTTCCTTCTTGTCATATCTTTGGGTGCAATATGTCTTAACCCAAGCGCTTGCAATGGTCAAGTTCATAAGCGTTTGTTTGTGTTTGGAGACTCGCTGTTTGATGCAGGAAATAATAAGTATCTCAATAGTACCATGAGAGTTGCACAAGCATATTATCCATATGGAATAACTTTTCACAATCAATCCACTGGAAGAGTATCGGATGGCCTCATAGTCCCTGATTTTATCGGTAAATATTATATGTCTGTTTTTAGTGTAATCTTTGTATAAAGAAAAGGAATAAGAAAACTAAGAATTTAATTACAAATTAATTACTGAATCCTAATTAATTATTGTGGTTGCAGCCCACTTTGCAAATTTGGATATGGTTCCACCATACCTACAACCAGGAGCAAACTTAAGTGATGGTGTCAACTTTGCTTCAGCTGGATCAGGTGTTTTTGACATTATGCCTGGCCTGGTATTGTCTCTTTTTTGAAGTACCTTCGAAATATAATTCAACTGTTAAGTAATTGATTAAGCATGTTTTACAGATAAATCTTCCAAAGCAGCTAGCCTATTTCAAGAAGGTGGCAAGTTCATTGGACAAGGAGGTTCTGATGAGATCTGTGTTCTTGATTAGCATGGGAGGGAATGATTACTTTAGCTTCAACACAAAAAACCCCAATGCTACTGTAGCTGAACGGCAACAATATCAAAGGATGGTGGTTGGAAATTTAACTAATGCACTCAAGGTATAATATCAGTAGTAATCTATCAATCAATCAACATTAACAGCAATTTATAACGAAATTTTTTTCTTACTTTCCTCGCAGGAAATATATGATTTAGGAGGAAGGAAATTTGCGTTTCAGAATGTTGGACCTTTGGGTTGTATGCCATTGATAAAGCAACAATTTTATTCTCAACTTCCCGCAAGTTGTAACAAAAACTTTTTAATTCATGCAACAATGCACAACAAAGCTCTCTCAAATGCCCTTAAGAAGTTAGAGAGACATTTAAGTGGTTTCAAATATTCATTATTTGATTATTATTCCGCACTTCTTGACAGAATTAACAATGCTTCAAAATATGGTATGTCATATATAATTAGCCATGATTAACTGAATTTGTGTGGTTTTAAATGTCCTAATTAGTACGAGTACTTGTACTTAACTAATTCTTGATTTTTTATGACTATGTCATGAAGGTTTTAAAGAAGGGATTAAAGCATGTTGTGGCAGTGGGCAATTTAATGGACAAAATTGTGGAGGAGGATTCAGTGGAAAAGATGCTTATAGTCTCTGCTCAAACCCCAGTGATTATGTCTTCTTTGATGGCGGCCACACGACAGAAAGGGCAAACAGCCAATTGGCCGAGCTTATTTGGAGTGGAGTACCGAATGTCACAGGGCCTTACAATGTCAAGCAATTGTTTGAGCTTCCATGATTCATTTGAAGCTTGTACAACACTTAGATTATTTCTGCACAAGATTGTATTATTATGATCCTTTAATCAACCTACTAATTAAATTATGTATGGATTAACATATAGTCTTTACAGCATCAATAATAGTTAAAAAGTTTCTTCTTTATGAGATTCTCAAACAAAAGTCTTAGTACCAGAAGCTTATTTTAGGGGTAATTTATCATTTACGACTCCTTTGTCAAGATAACTAACAGTCAACAGTAATTTACTCATTGATTCATGTCTGCAGTATTTAATGAAAATAATTGATAAAGGCAAACAATCCATTATTTCTAATTAAATATAATGTGAATGTTTGAGATCTTCTACGTCTACATGATGAAGGGTATGGACCCATGAGTCCATGACATGAGCAGAGAGCTGCTTCCGAGCATTTTCTAATGTTTCCAGCGACATTAAACATTAACTCTCGTCCTCCAAGAAATGCGCGTCCATCTCCATCCATGTTCTCTTTCACACAAATACATGCACCTTCAAGCATGGCCTTGTCTTTGACTCAGATGACCTGCTGCAGCACAACACGGCCTATGGGGACTGGGGTTGCAGTTAACATATCCAAAATCTACCTCCTAAGAAATCCCATGAATCTTAAGTTGAAGACTCTGAATTTCTTTTCGAGGATTATTTCATTGATAAATCAGAAGTTTTTAGGTAATTAATTAATGGCTCTTATGAGGCACTCTCCTTTATTTTGTTTCAATGCTCAACAGCAAACCTTCTTCTATACTAAAGTCTAAAGCAAACAAAAACATAAAAGATACTGAAAGGGCACAAATTGCTATCCCAATCATTTGGGAAGTAACCAGAATTAATTATTAGTCAAATTTTAGACCAACTCCCCATGTAAAAAGAAAAAGATTATCTCCACAGCAAGCGTGTAGGACCAGATCATCTGAAAACACCATGTGAATTCTGAATTGATCTGCTCTCAGTACATAAAAAGAGAGATCATAAATGATGTCTTACACAGTCACCGACTTCTTTAAACCCCACAAAAAGAAAATTGAATCTCATTGAGCCTTAAATAATACACAACACGTTCGACTATATATAGCCAGTGAGAGCTCAAAGCAAAGCAGCGAATAGAAAGTTAAGCTAGAAATAATAAAATTTCAATGGCGACGACAATCAAACTTCTTTTTTTGATAGCCTTGCATGCAACCGCTCTCAATTTAATTGTGTGCTATGCAGCTAATCCGTTGTCGTCGAAGAAACTGTTGTTTGTGTTTGGAGACTCACTCTTTGATCCTGGCAACAATCAGTACCTCAATAATTCAATGCCAAGCGCATCAATATCATGGCCTTATGGTATGAATATGAACAACAAATCCACTGGCAGGTTATCGGATGGCCTTTTGGTTCCTGATTTCGTCGGTAAGACTAATTAATTTAGCTTGCATGGTTAATTCTCTCTGTTAATATCTTTGCTGGTTAATTTAATCAGTAAGTTATAATTGATGTTGATGTATTTACTTCACTGCTTTGCAGCCCTATTTGCAAACCTGCCTGTGGATCCACCATGCATGCAACCAGGAGCTGATTTAACCAGTGGGGCTAACTTTGCTTCTGCTGGAGCGGGTGTTCTAGGAGAAAGTAACGGAGTGGTATGTTTTTTCTGTGTTAATTAAATTTAATGGCTTTCCATTCTTTTGGTGAAAAATTAAAGAGATGACATATCAATACTGTCACCTTATTTACGCGGCATCTAAAACATCTTTTAAAACAAAGGGCAATACAATCATGACCATACTCCAAAGAAGTAATCATGCATACAACTCACTGCCAAGATCCAATGGGGATTAATACATCAATCTTAAACGTGCATGTTCTGTATTTTTCAGATGAATCTTAATACACAGTTGACCAATTTCAAGAAGGTGGTAACTTTGTTAGTACAAAAAAAAGGTGAGCAAGAAGCGAAGAAGATTTTAATGAGCTCTGTGTACTTATTCAGCATGGGAGGCAACGATTACTTTAGGTATAACTTGAATTACCGGAACTCCACCAAATCTGAGAGAGTAACATACATGCATACTGTGGTAGCCAGCTTAACAAATGGATTCAAGGTAAGAACTAATTAATAGTTATTCTCTTTGACAAACATAGTAATTGGACTTGTTATTAGTTTACTAATATTTGGGTTTGGGTCGATTAGATTCGGGTAATCCTAAATGGGATAGTATTTTCTATTATTGTATATATTATGTAATAATGAGAAACCTAATATAATAAGAAAAAAAATAAAGTGAGAGTGAGCTACCGTCATTATTCATTGTAATTACTACAAAATTCTGAAACTTAATCAAAATTCTTTATTTGAATGATGAATGTAGTTCTTTAACTGGAACGAACGAGGGTAAATCAAATGTCCTATTTATTTTTCTGTTTTCTTTTCTTGTGTGTATTTGGCTATAGTTTCATCATTGTTAATTTGTAGGAAATATATGCAATGGGAGGGAGGAAATTTGCGATCCAGAATGTTGCACCATTAGGTTGCTTGCCATCGACAAAAGCAATGTACCCTGAATTAAATGGTGCTTGTGTTAAAAATTTCTTAACACATCCGAAACTACACAACAAAGCTCTATATAATAAGCTTAACAAGATGGCAAAGCAACTACCAGGCTTCAAACATTCCATCATGAACTACTACTATGCTCTCGGTGATAGAATAAGTAAGAGTCCAATATATGGTAAGTTAATTTATGGTTAAAATTCATTTATCTTTTGAACTTACATATGGAAGTAACTTTGATTTCATGTGTGTCTATAATTTGAAGGTTTCAAGGAAGGGAAAGTTGCATGTTGCGGCAGTGAGCTATGTAATGGACAAAATTGTGGAGTAGGTTCATACAAGTTATGCAAGAATCCAAGTGAGTATGTCTTCTTCGACGGTGGCCATACAACCCAGAAGACAAGTCGCCAACTAGCAGAGCTTCTGTGGAGTGGAGGGCCAAATGTCACTGGACCCTATAACGTGAAGCAACTATTTGAGTTTCCTTAATTCGATGACTTTATTATGTATCCTTACTGTTCTAACTTTAATACATCCCAAAGTCAAATATATTTTACAAACAATATCTTACCTCAGTCGTGAAAGGTAACGCTTAAATAAAAAAAATTAATATATAAAACGCATAGGTTTTGGTTTTAAAGAAATAAGTGACTCTTTCAATAATACAAGGGTACAATATCTGTATTCAAAATTTAAAAAAAAAAAAAATCATATAAAATATGTATCTATCATTCATTCAAACTTCAAAACTCAAATGCTCAATCAAATAAAAAGCATAGAATAGGTCAAATTACGAGTTAAGACACAAAAGGAGGAGCAGGCACCATGTTGCAGGGTCAACAGTCATGTAAAATGGACTATGAAATTAACAGTGAAGATTTGCACGATACAAAGATCCGGTCATCCACTATTATATTTCAAAAGTCAGTCACTGATCGATGTTTACCATGTTTTTTACCATGAAAACCTCCACAATGAATCAAAGGGCAAAGCTTGTGCCCATTACATATTTTACTAGTTTACTCAGATAAATATTATTGTTCTGAGAAATATTTGGTAGGTTACAGAGCATTTATTAAATCTGGACTCAAAAATTTATTCATCAACGGAGAAGCTGCAGCCACCCTTTTCTGAGAAACTTTAAATTGTTGAATATTGAATCGACTTCATAAAGTTGCTTCCTATTAAGAGGCATTGTAAATTCGGATCCTCGTAGTCTCTGCTATCTCTGTTGGAGGGGTTTTCGGCAGTCGCTGGAGGGGGAGCTTGGGCTTGATAAGTAACAAGCAGTTTAGGTTGGTTTTGCGTATATGTATCCAGACCTTTTACTCATTTTTATCTTATGAAGCAACAATGCATCTGCGGCTGGTACTGGCCTGCTTCCATGGGCTTGGTTAAAGGATGGATGTTTACACTGGGCTTTAGTGGTGGACGGGAAAAATGGATCAGCACAAGGGTTGACATGTGGTTTTTTGGGCCTATCTTGTTTGTTCTATTGAGGGTTTTAAAGATGGAGCAACAAGCCGTCTTCGGCTTGTATTGGTCTCTTTTTGGCAGCCTCATTTAAGTTTTTTATGTGTGGGCCTTAACGGTGATATTGTTTTCTTGACCCTTTTTGACTGGGCATGACTGCTTTGTGAGCCTTGTTTTTTGTTAAGACCCTAAGTGGTAATTGGGCTCATTTATGCAGGATTGTAAATCCTTATTTTTCTGGGCTTTCTTTTGTTGTAACTTTGGGTCTGTCTAAGGTTTGTAGACTAGGTGGGCTAATTCAATCAGAAAACTGCTTTTTCCCTTTAATTATCTTTAGGTAGTTTAACAGTTGGTTTGAGACTTTTAAGTTAATTTTAAGACTTAAAAAGGCTAGTTAAAGTAGCTTTATGAGTTAACAATTTCTTACATTTTCTAGCCGATGCTCTAATTAATGATGCTGGAATTATAGATGACAACAATCAGGTGCAAACAGATCAAACTCATTCCTTTATTGAGGCTTATACTGTGAGCTTAAGCTTATTAACTAACACAAAGATGTCTAAATCAGCTGTGTTCGAATAGTTTCTTCAGATTGTAAGGCCCTGTGACATCTGGAGTTCCGCTCCACAGTAGTTGTGCAATTTGCTTGTTGGCCTTTTCAGAGGGATGAGTAAAGTCAAAGAACAAATATTCCTGAGGATTATCACATAATTCATACTCTTCTACTCCTCTCTTCCCCCCACAACTTGACATTCCTCTGTACTGACCACTGCCGCAACATGCCCTCATAGACTCCTTCAAACCTTCACAATTTCAAGTTGTAAATCAGAATTCATTAATTTTGACTGCAATATATCAAACATGGCTTACCATATCTTGAAGGGTCGTTGATTCTTTTCATTAATGAATTGTAGAAGTCGTGATTCGCATATCTGAATCCCTCCAGTTGGCTCTCTAGCTCCTGCAGAACTTTAGAAAGAACCTGATTATGTAGCTTCGCCAACTCCAAGGTATCCTCCAGGCAGGATCCTGTGTTTCCGGGTGAAACTAATCTGGCGCTTGGAGTACAACCCAAAGGCGCCAAATTTATGAACCCAAATTTCCTTCCTCCTTTCTTATATATTTCCTGACACATTAAGAAATTAACTTGAAGAAAATCTTTCGAGTACTAGATGTAAGATATGTAGAAAGAGTTGACAGAAGTTCCAGAAATTTTGTCTCTTTTTCTGAGAGTGTAATTACTTTGATTGTAGTTGTCAGGTTGCCAATCACCATCCCTACATATTCCTTTTTAGAGTTGTACGATTGAGGCAGAGTTGAGTTTCTCACAAAGATAAAGCAGTCATTGCTTCCAATGCTAAAAAAGTAAACAGCTTCTGAAGTCAATTTTTTGGCTGCTGCATCTCCTAGTTTCTGTTTCAATTGTTTCTCCACAACTTTGAAATAACTTAACTGAGTTTTAAGATCTGTCACCTGCAATTTGGGGAAGAAACTGTGAAGCAAACAGAAATTTATCAACTCTTTTAAGCACATTCAGCGAGATCACATACATATCCTTGGTGAGTTTCAACTAGAGCACCAGCTCCCGCGGACGCAAAGTTCACCCCATAAACAAATTGATCGTTGTAGGATGGAAAAAATGTTGAAATTAATGGTAACTTTGCATACTCAGCTGCAGCAGAGTTAATAGAGTGATAATAATTCAGTTGCACATCATAAATGAATAAATTAACATGTTGATGAATCATACCTATAAAATCAGGAATCAAACGTCCATCAGAAAATCTTCCAGTAGGATAGTTGAAGAAGGTTTCACCATATGGCCTGAAATTTGCCTGATATGCAACAGTGGTGTTAATATAGTTATTATTTCCAGCATCCAACAGAGAATCTCCAAAGATGAACAATGCTACATGTTTTTTGGGCAATGATGGGTGAGCATGGCCTGGAATGAGACTTGAGCAAGCAACCAAGAGTGGGACAAGGAAGCTTAAACTTTTCATCTTGTTAATAGTCTTCGATCGCTTAGTTTTCTGTTCATATCTCTCATTAATTTTGTCTCTTAATCATAGGCTAGGATTGAATTTTCAGAAGTCGGTCAAATAAAAGTCCTTGACGCACATCATATAAACAATCAACTCTTTTATATATTTTCATTGTTGACTTTGCATATTCGAATATAAATTAAACTCTTCAATATTCAGCTTCCTGATCATCGAGATTTGTAGCTTATTGTCAAGATGCATGCATTGATCATGTTATTTAATGTTTTCGGTCTTTGTCACCATTTCTGGTTGTTGATATATGTATATCAATAAGAAATTGTTGGGTGGAATCATTCATTAAAAATCCACATCCTTGATCACTATTGTTCTCTCATATCTTAGGAAATCTCTCATTATCTTTTACATCAATTATTGGAAGCTTCAACTACCCAGATTTTCTATATTATATATGTCGGTCCAATCAAAACCTTGAGCAAAAGTAGAGCATCTGATATAAAATGGCTAGAAAATATTACTGATTTGACAAGGAAACCAACAATATTATATAAATGTGGACCTTATTATTCAAAGTATAGCTTGACCTCAAAGGCCTTTTTTAACTTATTCGTTACATAAACAATAAACATTAATTGATCAGCTATACATGTTCAAATAGTTTCTTCAGATTGTAAGGCCCTGTGATATTTGGGGTTCCACTCCACATAAGTTCTGCTATTAGCTTGTATGCCTTCTCAGTGGGATGAACAGCATCAAAGAACATATATTCCTCAGGATTATCACATAACTCGTAATCTTTTATTCCAGTCATGCCCCCACAGCTCATTGTTCCTCTGTATCGACCACTGCCACAACATGCCACCATGGTCTCCTTCAAACCTTCACAACATAAAAATTTCAGTACAAATTGTAATCTCAACATGCATACAAGATCGGATGATCAATTGACATACCAGATCTTGAATGGTTGTTGATGATTTCCAGAGAAGAATTGTAGAAATCATGAATTGCATATTTGAATCCTGTTAATTGGCTCTCTAGTTCCCGCAGGACTTCAGATAGTGCTTTGTTATGTAGTTTTGCTAACTCTGAAACACTCTCCAGGCAGGATCCTGAGCTTCCCGGTACAATTGCTCTTATCAGTGGTAAACTACCCAAATCATCCAAATTTAAGAACCCAAATTTCCTTCCTCCAATCTTATATATTTCCTGTCATCAGAACATAATAACTTGAACAAAAATATATCTTGTTTATAAAACACTGGAACAAGATTTTTCGAAAGAGTATGATACTATTACTTTGATTGTAGTTGTCAGGTTGCCGATGACTGATGCATTGTTACTACAACATGCAATATAGCAAGTGCACTAATCGCAAAAAGTAATAAAGTAATGAGTGAGTATCGTTTCCACGAGGATTGATTGTTAAGCACTAATTTCCCTAACTGTTTTTCAAGTTAAAGAACCGAATTTGTTTGGATTAAAGGAAGAATTAAAATTAAACTAAGAACAAAACCTCTAAGTATTAAAAACTAAATATTGAAAGAAAGAGTTTAAAAACAAGGATAATATCAATTTAACAAACGGTTAGGGTTTTGATTTCATTCGGACTCTATCGATGGATTCAAAGGATTATGCTAATTCCACACTCACATGCACGGATTGTAAATCAAATTCTCTAAATTGTCAAGCATACCTTCTCAGACTATGAACTCTTACTTTTCTCTATTACACTTCCGCACCCAACAAATTGAAGAATTGAAGAATAATAGATTCAAGTTCATTAAGCTAAAACAATCCTAGATTGATTTCATTGATTCTTAAATCTATCTCTAGCATTTAATACTACAATGGTGATTACCCAAGAAGCTCAACACGATTCATTTCTCAATCTCATCATATATATTCATCAAATACATTCAATAAAAATAGAATAATCACACAATCTATGCAATGGAGGATGGAAATAACAATAATCAATTCACTAATCCATAAAAATCCGAAGTTCATCAAAACCCTAGCCCCAAAAGCGTTAGTTCATAACTAATTTAACATAAACAGCAAGGAAAACAGTAAATGAAACAGTAAGCATATTGAAACAAAGAGAAAGAACATATATCTCCCCTAGTTGATGAATCTCCAAGGTTGAATCTCCAATCTTCTCACTTTCTCAACCAAAATCCAAGTAATGTTCAAAGAAAACTCTAAAACAAAGCAAAAACGTCCCCGCTTTACAAAAATGGCAAAGTGTTCTTTTTATACGTCACCCCAAAAACCTAAAACTTTCCTAAAAATGAAACTGTGCATTTTGAAGAAATCTGAAATACGCAGACTTCACCGCGGCGAAGTGGTAAGTTGACACTCTTGTGCATCACTCATTTCGCCGTGGCGAAGGACAAACTTTGCCACGGCGAACCTTCCTGTAGAATTCTGAAATTACATAATTGCCCTCTGCTTGCTTCTTCGCTTGAATCTTCAATCTTCGATGCTCTCCCATGGAAGCAAGCTTTATAGTGCTCCACTCTGCTTCAGAACTCTCCCAAATTATGAGATGCACTTACTTCTGGGTCCAAAAACTCTAATTCGCTCATTATTTGCTCAAAATGTCCATTTTGGCCTAAAACACAAAATGTAAAGAATTAAGTAGCAATTCAGGTAAAAATGGACTAAGAAGTATCTAAAATCCGACTAAAAAGCCTAATAAATATAGTATAATCCTCGGATTATCAATCACCATCCCTATATATTCTTTTCTAGAGTAATCCGATTGAAGCACACTTGAGTTTGTGAAAAAAGGGACAAGTAATCATTGGTCCCAATGCTAAATAAGTAGACAGCTTTGGATAGCAATCTTTTGGCTCCTGCATCACCTAGTTTCTGCTTACTACATCTCCACTAGCTTGAAATAACTTAGCTAAGTGTTAAGATCTATTACCTGGTATTTACATAAAAAAATGTGAGCGCAAAGGTTTTTGGCTAATTCTATTTACTCTTTAAGCTTAAACATCAAGATTTCATACATATCCTCGTCGAGTTTCAGCTAAAGCACCAGTTCTAGATGCAAAGTTCACACCATAAATAAATTGATCTTTGTAGGATGGCAAAAATGTTGGAATTAACGGTAACTTTGTAAACACAGCTGCAATAGAGTTGATTACATGAGGAAGATCAAAATTCAATATTTCATCATACTCATACATGAAATTAACAACATACTAATGAATCATACCAATAAAATCTGGAATTAAACGCCCATTTGAAGCTCTCCCGGTAGGGTATTTAAAGAAGGTTTCACTGTACGGCCAGAAATTTGCTCGGAGAGTGTGTTGAAAGGTGATATCATGCTGGAAATGCAGAAAGGAGGCAGATTTTTTGAACTGCAGTTTAACGCCTGTTGATCTCCCGTAATTCATGCAGAAGCAGTTTTTTTTTTTGTCACTGTGTTGGATTGATTCAGTGACATGTTTAGTTGTATTAGGTTTGGTTAAGTGTAGTTTCTTACTTGCTTGTATGTGTATTAGTAGGTGGAGTAAGTTTAAATTTGAATTTTGAAATGTTATTAGTTGAAACAGTAATGTTTGCTTGTATATTTTTACCCCTGTTTTTTGAAAAAAAAACAGAGCATTGTTGCAGTCTTTAGTTTCTCTTTCGTTCATCTGTTTTTCTCCTTCGTTTCCATGCATAACTAACAATTGGTATCAAAGTCTTAACTGATATTAGAGAGCCTGATAATTAATCTTCCTTCTTCTCACTTTCAACCCTGGTTTTCGTCACTCTCTTTGTTAAAACTCAAAACATTCAGTTTCAATGGCACAACCTTCAGTCTCTCTCACACCTCCAGTCTTTAATGGCAAGCAATACCACATGTGGGAAATCAAGATGAAAGCATTCCTTTGTGGATAGGGTCTGTGGTAGTACGTGGAAGAGAATCGTCAACTACCTCCCTTGGGACCAAATCCCACCCTAAATCAAATCAAGATGCATGAAGAAGAGGCTGCCAAAGCACTGAGAGTTCTCTATCACATTCATGTAGCAGTAACTGACCTTGTATTCACAAGGATCATGGCGTATGAAACACCAAAGAAAGCATGGGATAAGTTGAGAGAAGAGTATACGGGTAGTGATACAACAAGGGGCATACAGGTGTTGAACCTGAGATGAGAATTTGAGTTACTGAAAATGCAAGAAACTAAGAAGGTAAGGGAGTACGTTGATAGATTAATGAGTGTGTTAATAAAATTAGATTGCTTGGGGTGGAATTGACGGATAGAAGAATTGTGGAGAAAGTGTTAGTAAGCCTACCTGAAAGGTTTGAAGCTAAAATCTCCTCTCTTGAGGATTCTAAAGACCTGACTCAAATAACTCTAACTGAGCTGGTCCATTCTTTACAAGCTCAAGAACAAATAAGGCTTTTAAGGCTGGAAGACGCAGGTGAAGGTGTTATGGTTACAACATATAAAGGGAAGTTTGTGCAGGCTAGAAATGAGAGAAATGCAAGAGATAAGAAGGGGAAAGAGAAAGCTAACATTCAGTGGAACAAACATGGTGGGATAAAAGAGTATCCACCATGTTCCCAATACAAGAAGAAGGGACACTCAGAAAAATGGTGTTGGTTCAGACCAGGAATTCAGTGTAGAGCCTGCAAACAATTCAGCCATATAGAGAGAGTTTGTAAAAATAAAGGGGAATCCTCTCAGCAGCAAGCTCAGATAGTTGAAGATTTGCAGCAAGGGCAGGAAGCTGAGCAGTTATTTTTGGCATCTTGCGGGTCTGACTCATCATGCAATGAAACCTGGTTGATTGACAGTGGATGCACAAGTCATATGACTCCAAATTTGCAAAGCTTCATCAGCTTGGACATGGCGTTTCAATCCAAAGTCAAGATAGGGAATGGAGAATTTGTGGATGTTAAAGGGAGAGGTGATGTGGCTGTGCAAATTCAATCAGTTACTAAGCTGATTTCTGATGTGCTTTATGTTCCTGAATTAAATCAAAGTTTACTTAGTGTAGGACAAATGTTAGAGAGAAAATATGTCCTACATTTTCAGGATCAATCTTGTAAGATACTAGATAGTGAGGGCAGTGAACTTATGAGAGTTAGAATGATAGGAAAAAGCTTTCCCATTGACTGGAAAAATTCAGAGTTCAGAGCTCACAATGCTAAGCTAGATGAATCTGAAATATGGCACAAGCGTTTTGGCCATTATCATTACCACGGTCTCAAGCAAGCTCAGACCAAACAAATGGTTCTGAACCTGGCCGAAATTGATAAAGTAAAGACCTTGTATCATGCATGTCATCTTGGCAAGCTGAGTAGATCATCCTTTCCCGTGAACCAAGCTTGGAGAGCTTTAGAAAAACTCCATCTCATCCACACAAATGTATGTGGCCCTATGCAAACACCTTCTTTGAATAGGAGTTGTTATTTTATCTTGTTCATTGATGATAAAACTAAAATGTGTTGGGTGTATTTCTTAAAGCAAAAAAATGAAGTGGCTGGAGTTTTTGGCGGGTTTAAGCAGTTGGTTGAAAACCAAACTAGTTTGAATATCAAAATGGTGAGGAGTGACAATGGGATTGAGTACACATCAAAAGAGTTTGAAACAATCTGCATAGAGGCAAGAATCAAGTACCAATTCAGTAGTCTTTATACTCCACAGTAGAATGGAGTAAGTGAGAGAAGGAATAGAACTGTTGTGGAGTTGGGAAGATGTATGTTGGCTGAGAAGAAGCTGTCAAAAATTTTTTGGGCAGAAGTTGTAAACACTACAGTTTATTTACTAAATAGGCTTTCCATAAAATCCTTGATCAACCAAACTCCCTATGAAGCTTGATATGGGATCAAACCTGTTGTGGATCATTTAAGGGTCTTTGGCAGCACCTGTTATGTATTGGTTCCAACAGCCAAGGGGAAGAAGCTAGATGACAAAGCAACTATAGGCATTTTCATTGGATATAGCAATAATTCCAAGGCTTGTAGAGTGTATAATCTAGAAACCAAAAAGATTCATGTCACTAAAGATATAAGGGTTGATGAGAAAGGTGTTTGGAATTGGGAAGAGAACAAAGTTGATAAAGAAGAAAGTTCACGGCAGATTGATGTGGTTGGTGATGAAGCTACTGAAGAAGATGGAAGTGAAACTGAAGAAGAGCTCCCGGTTAGAGGCACTCGTTCATTGGTTGAGGTTTATGAGAGGTGTAATCTGGCCACACTTGAACCAATTAACTTCACTGAAGCAGCAAAATCTGAAGCATGGAGAGTTGCTATGTAGGAGGAGTTAGCAATGATAGAAAAAAATCAGACCTGGAAGCTTATGGACAGACCAAGGGATAGAAATATGATTCAAGTCAAGTAGATTTTCAAGAAGAAATATAATCCTGATGGTTCAGTACATAAGCACAAAGCAAGGTTGGTTGTCAAGGGACTTGTTCAATGATATGGAATTGATTTTCATGATACATTTGCACTGGTAGCAAGGCTTGACACAATCAGGCTGTTACTTGCTCTTGCGGCTCAATTTGGTTAGAAAATATTCCAACTGGATGTCAAGTCTGCGTTTTTAAATGGATGGCTCAATGAAAAGATTTATGTTAAGCAACCGGATGGGTACCAGGTTCAAGGCCAAGAGAATAAAGTGTATCTTTTGAGGAAGGCCTTGTATGGCCTAAAACAGGCTCCTACAGCCTGGTACAGCAGGATCAATAAGTACTTGAGTAGCTTGGGTTACTTGAGAAGTCCCAATGAACATACATTATATGTAAGAAACGTGGAGGGTGAATTGATCATTGTTTCACTGTATGTTGATGACCTTCTCATCATCGACAGTAGTCCAAGTAAGGTGGATGAATTGAAGGAAGCAATGAATTGTGAATTTGAAATGACAAATCTCGGGATAATGTCTCACTTCCTAAGCATGGAAATTAATCAAACTTCAAGTGGCATATTTGTCAATCAGAGGAGGTATGTTGTGGAGGTTCTTAAACGGTTTGGCATGGATAAATGCAAGCCAGTCAATACACCTCTGGTTGCTACTCAGAAATTGAGCAAAGAGGACAGGGCTGTCAGGGTGGATGAGAGTTTGTACAGAAGCTTAATAGGTTGTTTGGTTGTATCTAACAGCAACCAGGCCTGACTTAATGTATGTTACAAGTCTCCTCTCTAGGTTTATGACTAATCCAAGTGAAAATCATTTCAAGGTAGCTATGAGGGTGCTCAGATATATTAAAGGTAATCCTAGACTTGGTGTGTGGTTCAGGAAATCTGAAAGTTTTCAGCTTCTAGGATATTCGGACAGTGACTGGGCTGGATCAATAGATGACATGAAGAGTACATCCGGCTATGTATTTTTCTTAAATTCTGGTGTTGTGTGTTGGTTGTCCAAAAGGCAAGCAATGGTAGCTCAGTCAATAGCAGAAGCAGAATACATTTTTGCTATTGTTGCCGTGAACCAAGCCATTTGGCTCATGAAGATTTTGAATGATCTTAACCAAACTCAGAGTCAGCCTACTGTAATTTTCTATGACAATCGGTCTACAGTTTCTATGGCCAAAAATCCAGTTAATCATGGTCGTACAAAACATATCAAGATCAAATACCATGTAGTAAGGGAAGTTGTGCAAGATCATGAAGTTGAGTTGATACACTGCTAGGGAGAAGAACAGGTCACTGATATTCTGACTAAGCCGTTGTCCAAAGCCAAGTTTGAATATCTTCAGTTCAAACTTGGTATTTCCAGCAATGATATCAAGGAGGAGTGTTGAAAGGTGATATCATGCTGGAAATGCAGAAAGGTGGCAGATTTTTTGAACTGCAGTTTAACGCATGTTGATCTCCCGTAATTCATGCAGAAGCATTTTTTTTTGTCACTGTGTTGGATTGATTCAGTGACATGTTTAGATGAATTAGGTTTGGTTAAGTGTAATTTCTTACTTGCTTGTTACGTGTATTAGTAGGTGGAGTAAGTTTAAATTTGAATTTTGAAATGTTATTAGTTGAAACAGTAACGTTTGCTTGTATATTTTTACCCCTGTTTTTTGAATAAAAAACAAAGCATTATTGCAGTCTTTAGTTTCTCTTTCGTTCATCTGTTTTTCTCCTTCGTTTCCATGCAAAACTAACAGAGTGGTGTTGATATAGTTATTATTTCCAGCATCAAATAGTGAATCTCCAAAGATAAATAAGGCAACATGTGCTTCAGGCGATGATGGCCGGTGAGCATGCCCTGGGATGAGAAGACTTGAGCACAGAACCAAGAAAGAGATAAGAAATCTTGGTCTTGACATTTTACCATTCATTCACTTAATGTTCTATGCCCTTCTCCTTAAATTTCAGAGTCATATATAGGATTGCTTGAGTGAAGAACAAGAAGCTCAATAGGATTAGATTTTAAATGTTGGTCAAATTAGGTGGCTTTAGTATAGAATGTTCCTTTAACATTTGTTTAATGAACCATAATTCTATGAACTAGCAATATTTTTGTAACATTCTATATATTATCTTTTATTTTGTTATCATTTTTGTTTTGACTACTTGTTCTTTCTGATTTTCTTATACAATTCGGATGATATCTGAACAGGCAGATGTTTTCCCAGTTACTGTTCCCTGCAATGGTTGGAGTTCTGAATATTTTATTAGTTTACCTCCATTTTCTTCAGTTTTTGCTGGTATCAACATACTTTTCACAAGGAATTCAGGCTTTGACCTTATTGCCAGATATTGATGTTGATATAACCAGTAGTCAATGTTAGGACCTAGAAAATCTAATTCTTTTCTAACTAAATAATGTTCTGAGAAGATGCTTTGGAATATCTCTTACATAACAATCTCATATTTTAAAGGGTCAAAATAGAAGAACCTGGAGCGAAAGTAGAGCTTCTGATAAAAAAAATTTAGAGCATAAAAAACAAAATTGGCTGGTATACAACTGTATAATTATTTCTGTCACCTTTTTGTTGTATTTTATTGTTGATTATAAGATTTGCAATTTGCATTTCTCATACATTATTGCATTTTAGCAGTTGAATTTTCAAATATTCAACTCTTCATTGGTGTAAAGAAATTCATTGAAGATAATTTTATTTCTTGACTATTTTCCTTCATGGTGTAAAGAAATCCAATTGTGTTCAATAAGTTTCTTCAGATAGTAAAGCCCTGTGACATCTGAAGTTCCACTCCACATTAGTTCTGCAATTAGCCTGTATGCCTTTTCAGTGGGATGAACAGAGTCAAAGAACATATATTCCTCAGGATTATCACATAACTCAATACTTTTTTATTTCTGTCATTCCCCCACAGCTCAGTATTCCTCTGTATCGACCGCTGCCACAACAACCCATGATGGCTTCCTTGAAACCTTCACAACATAAAAATTCATTACAAATTGTATATAAGAATAGATCGAGGCGCTTGATTTCGTCGTGCATATAATGAAAAAACAAGATTGGAAGATCAAAATACATGCCTTATCTTGAAAGGGTTGTTGATAATTTCCATACAAGAATTGCAGAAATCATGAATTGCATATTGAAATCCTGTTAGTTGGCTCTCTAACTCCTGCAGGACTTTAGAGAGTGCTTTGTTGTGTAACTTTCCTACCTCTGAAGCACTCTCCAGGCAGGATCCTGAGCTTCCAGGCACAATTGCTCTCAAGGCTGGGAAACATCCTAGGCCTCAAACTTGTGAACCCAAATTTCCTTCCTCCAATCTTATATATTTCCTGACAAATTAAAATAAATAAAATAATTATAAATCTTCATCAAAGCACTTGAAGAAAATTTTTTCGAAAGATAACAATGATATTACCTAGATTGCAGTTGTGAGATTGCCGATCACCATCCCTATTTTCTAGAGTAATCTGATTGAAGAACACTTGAGTTTGTCCTCAAAGGGACAAAGTAGTCATTGGTTCCAATGCTAATAAATAAGTAAACAGCCTTAGATAACAATGTTTTGGCTCCTGCATCTCCTAGTTTCTGCTTAAACTCCTTCTCTACAAGCTTGAAATAACTTAGCTGAGTGTTAAGATCTATCACCTGGTATACACAGAAGAATATGTGAGCCCAAAAGTTTTTGGCTAATTCTGTAAATTCCTTAAGCTTAAATAGCAAGATTACATACATATCCTGGATGAGTTTCAGCTAAAGCACCAGCTCCCCCGGATGCAAAGTTCACCCCATAAATAAATTGATCATTGTAGGATGGAAAATATGTTGGAATTAATAGAAACTTTGCATACTTAGCTGCATGCAAAAGAGCACATTAACAGGAGTAACTAGTAAATTGATGAAAATTCAGTTGTTCCTTATACTCATTCATGAATTTAACAACACACGAGTTATCATACCAATAAAATCCAGAAATAAACGACCATTGGAAGCTCTTCCAGTAGGGTACTTGAAGAAGGTTTCACTGTATGGCCAGAAATTTGCCCGGTAACAAACAGTGGTGTTGATATAGATATTGTTTCCAGCATCAAATAGTGAATCTCTAAAGATAAATAATGCAACTTGTGTTTTGGGCGATGGTTGGTGAGCATGCCCTGGGATGATCAGACTTGAGCACAGACCAAAAAACAGATAAGGAACATTCTCCTTAATTTTCACAGTTATGTATGGATTAAATTTTTAAATGTTAAGTCAAATTAAGTGGCTTTAGACTAGAATGTCCCCATAACCTTTTGAACAAAACGCTAACATTGTATTGTATTGATTTTAGAAATATTTTGTTGGATTTCTGCAGGTCAATAATATATTTTATTGGAAATATGGTGATGCTTGTATTTTATTGTCTATAATGATAATAGTATTGTGTATTACACTTTATTCGCATCTTCTGCTAGTAACTGGTTTGATCTTTGACAGACAACAGAATAGGAAAAATCCATATATCAAACTTATTTATTGAACAAATATCCCTTATTCATTATAGAAGTTAGCTGGATCAATTCAAGCTCCGCTATGTTCAAATAGCTTCTTCAGATTGTAAGGCCAAGTGATATTTGGAGTTCCACTCCACATTAGTTCTGCAAATAGCTTGTATGCCCTTTCGGTAGCATGACCAGAGTCAAAGTAGAAATATTCCGCAGGATTGTCACATAGTTCATACTCTTCTATCCCAATTCTCTTCCCCCCACAGCTTGATATTCCTCTGTATGGTCCACTGCCACAACATGCCGTCATAGCCTCCTTGAAACCTGCACAAAACAAATTCATAATTACAAAACTGTATATCAGAATCCTGATGCTTATTCTTTCTACATAAAACACAATAGGAAGATCACATAACATACCATATCTTGAAGGATTGTTAATAATTTCAACGCCAGAATCGTAGAAATTGTGAACTGAATATTTGAATCCTGTTAGTTGCTTCTCTAACTCCTCCAGGGCTTTATAGAGTTCTATGTTGTGTAGTTTTGCTAACTCTGAAGGAGGAGTCTCCAAGCAGGATCCTGAGCTTCCATTCATAGTTGCCCTCCAAGCTGGTGAACAACCCGAAGCTCCCACGCTTGAAAGCCCAAATTTCCTTCCTCCTGTCTTATATATCTCCTGAAAGATTAAGGGAAATACATCATCAGAAGATGTAGAAAAAATTTCAAACGGTCGATTTGACAAAAGTCATTGTTATTACTTTGATTACAGTTGTTAAGTTGCCGACCACCGTCCCTATATATTGTTTTGTAGAGTAATCCGACTGAAGCACACTTGAATTTGATGTCAGAGCCGCATCATAATCATTGCCACCGATGCTAAATAAGTAAACTGCGTTGCCCAACAATGTTTTGGCTTCTGCATCACCTAGTTTTTGCTTCAACTGCTTCTCCGCAATCTTGAAGTAACTCAGCTGAGTTTGAAGGTCTATCACCTGGAAGTTTAATAAGAGAAAATGGAAGCAAAGTCAAAAACTAAACTTTTCAAGGTTCAAATAAGCCAATCAAACCTTATACATACATAGCCTCGATAAGTTTCAACTAGAGCACCACCTCCTGCGGATGCAAAGTTCACCCCATAAACAAATTTATCGTTGTAGGATGGCAAAAATGTTGGTATAAATGGTAATCCTGCACGCTCAGCTGCAACAGAATTATTTGCGAGAGTAATTAATAGAGTGATAAAAATTCAGAGGCTCATCATACTCCTACATGGAATTAACAACTTAATAATCAGTCTTACCTATGAAATCCGAAATCAAACGCCCATCAGAAAATCTCCCAGTTGGGTATTTGAAGAAGGATTCACCGTATGGCCAGAAATTTGCCTGAGAATAGGTAGTGGTGTTGATGTAGTTATTATTGCCAGCATCAAATAGTGAATCACCGAAGATAAATAGTGCAACATGTTTTTTAGGCAACGACCGGTGACAATGGCCTGGGATGAGAAGACTTGAGCACAGCATCAAGAAACAGATAAGGACGCTTGATCTTGTCATATTGAAATTCATTCACTTAATGTTCTGTTCCCTTCTCCACAATTGAACTGTCATTTAAAGGGTTGTTTACTTGGAGAGAAATAAATTGATGGACTAACAAGATTGAATTTTCAAACATTTCAGTATACCATTCCATTGATCAAGATATTCACGCAAGTTTAAGTTTCTTTGGATATTGTTGAATTTTCATAAATAATGCCATTTAGTCTTCTTTATTCTATTCATTCTATTATTGCTCATGATCATGACAGAAACGAAAGACGCCAAGATGTTCACGTCTTTGTGTGGAACAAGTGGCTTAATTCCTTATTGCATGGTCAAACATTTATTATTATTTTTTTTTTTTTGTTGTTGTTGTTATGGTGAAACATTTTGTTCACGCAAGAATACGTCACATGGAGAAAAAGCAAAACCACGTAAAATTATTGTGTGCTTTGATTTTATTATTATTTTTTTCCTGTTTTTCTTGCTGTTAATTATTTTTCGTGGGATTGGGTTTGTCAAAACACTTTGGATATTGTTGAACTTTTATAAATTATGCCGCTTTAGTCTTCTTTATTCTTTTTATTCAGTTCTTGCTTATCAATCACAACAAAAACGAAAGCTTGAATTTAATGTAACAGATATCACCTTGATTAGCTCTGAGAGCTTGTTAGTTCTTTCTAATGCTATTAAACGTTAGTCTTGAATTGTTAATCCAAATTTAATTTCATTGATCCATGGTACTCTAGTGGTTTTAAGAGGGGTATTTAAGTTACTTAATAGATTTAGCTTTGTCTAATCAACCAATGTGGAGGGTTTTATTTATTTATTTATATATTTTTTGGGAAACCGGTAATTCTATAGAAAAAAAAATAATAAAAAAAAAAAAGGAAGAGGAGGACCGGCTGGCGCACTTGGCCCACACAATATGTCCACTCAAACGGCCCATGTAACTACTGACGCAATCAACCCACCAAAATGGCCCACGCAAACTGCCCACGTAAACGTCCCTCTCACACAACAGCCCATAAAATCTAGCAAAAATGGCCCAACCACCAAAACAGGCCAATATCACTTGCCGGGCTGTCATCTTCTCGCCCCAAGAAGGGCCCAAACACTTCACTTCCCAATTCCAGCCCAAAGGAGATCCTACGCAAATTGAAAAAATACCCTCAAACAGCCCACATGCAAAGCACACCAACCTCAACCCACCACCAGTCAAACGGCCACACCCCAGACGAGAAGGAAGCCCAACAGGCTCACCTCAACCACAAAACTCCCACCAGGCCACCACACCTATCTGGGCCCGTAAAACTCTCCACACTATAAGGCGCGCAAGGCACCAAGACAACCACCAGGGCAATCCAGCAAATAATGATGGGCCATTTTAAATTTTTGAATAACAAGTCAACCGTACAGCCAAGCCAGCCCAACCCAACAGTCCACCAGAAAAAATCTCCCACAACAGCAGCTCCAGGACCCATAAAAGGGGTACAAGCTCAAAATATTTTCGATTTTCAATTTCCTCAAGCCAACAATGCCATGTTGTTGTACAGCAACTGCATTCATCACCTGCAAGCTGCCTGCATAAGCCAAACCCCACAGCCAACTTCACAACTTGCCTAAACAACGCTTGCCCAACTGCCCCTTCACAAGATGAATAAATTATCATCTGGACAAACCAGCCTAAATTGGAGAACTCCCACTTTCTTACCAACCCAGACAAACTTTCATGCAACCCAAAATCACTGTGTCTGCACTAAAATTATACTTCATAACATAGCATGCCCAGATGAATCTAAACGGCTGCATGTTACTTATGTCACTGCCCATTAAAACATGAGAAAACAAAAAAGGGCCAGCCCTTATACCAAAACACTTGTAGGACCCCTCTGCTTAAAAAAAAAAAAAGATCCTCCTCATGCCAACATGCCTCCTCCAGATATCCTCCCAATTCATAAACTGCCCCTTGCCTATATACTTACAGCTATGGCTGTTCCACCCATGACCAACCGCGCCCCCCCGCGCCCGCCCAATACTCCCATAACAAAAACATGTTATCAGATATACGTCTTCCTGGGACAAAGGCAGGCTGAGTCTCCTCTACAAGATTCCCTAAACTCCATCTCACCCTATTATCAATAATCTTTGAAATAGCTTTGCAAAGCACATTGCAGCAAAAAAGGGCCTGAAATCACCAACTTTAAGGGGCACATCCAGCTTGGGAACAAGCTCAACCACTGTTGCATTCAGCTCTCTCAGAAGTCTACCATTATGGAAGAAATCAGAGATTGCCGCCGAGACTTCATCCCCCACAATACCCCAAGAAGCTTTAAAAAATTTTGAGGAGTGCCCATCCGGGCCCCCACAATATCAGTGGCTGTATTCTGCTTTCACCCGTTATTACTTTATATTCCTTTCATTTATACTTCTATGCGAAAATAGGAAAACAAAGCTCAAATTAAACTGTGTTATTATTTTATAATTAAACTCTCTATTATTGCTGTCATCATCAACAGATCAGTGCTGACCCCATTGCTGATAATGCTCAAATTAAACAACTGATTTATTACAATCATTATCCAATAATCTTCCAAACTTATTCAATATTCAATGAACCTAATTGCTTTGAAAAAGTACACTAATTCAGTTATATGAGCTCGAACAGTTTCTTAAGATTATAAGGCCCTATCACACTTGGGGTTCCACTCCACATTAATTCTGCAATTTGTCGGTAGGCCTTCTCAGAGGGATGATAAGAGTCAAATAATAAATATTCACCAGGATCCTCACATAATTGATACTCTTTATTTGCTCTCTTACCCCCACAGGTATAGTTGCCTCTTCCAGGACCAATTCCACAACATGCTGTAGCCTCCTTAAAACCTGCAAAACATTAAGCAAAAACTTTATATATCAGAATATGTAGAGACAATTAACGAACTAAACATATTAATGAAGGATAAGATGATTTTATATTTACCATATCTTGAAGGGTTGTTGATTCTTTCACCTAAAGAACTGTACAAATCGTGATTCGCGTATTTGAATCCTTCTAGTTGTCTCTCTAGCTCCTGGAGGGCTTTATGAAGTTCTTTGTTGTGTAATCTTGCCATCTCTAAAGCAGCCTCCAGGCAGGATCCTGAGTTCCCTGGTACAAGTATTTTCACTCCTGGAAGACAACCTAAAGGCGCCGAATTCACAAACGCAAATTTTCTTCCTCCTTTCTTATATATTTCCTGAAACATTGAAATTAATAATCTAAACAAATATGGTATTAATGGTAATCAAATATAAAATAAGATGCTATTAATTAATTACTTTGATTGTGCTTGTGAGGTTGCCAATCACCATTCCAACATATTCTTTCTTAGACTTGTAGGATTGAAGCACAGATTTGTAAGTTGAGTTTGAGTTGAAAAGGACGAGGTAGTCATTGCCTCCAACACTGAAGAGGTAAACAGATTTGGATAGCAATGTTTTGGCTTCTGCGTCACCTAGTTTCTGCTTCAACTTCTTCTCCACAATATTGAAATAACTCAGCTGAGTTTCAAGGTCTACAACCTGCAATTCAGATTATAAATTCCTTCGTTTTATTGACAATTATATGCATAAAGAAAATAATAATCTTATTATGTTATACATACATATCCCCGATGACTTTCAACTAGAGCACCAGCTCCCCCGGATGCAAAGTTGACCCCATGAACAAATGGCTGATTGTTGTATGGTAAATATGTTGGAATCAATGGTAACTTTGCATACTCAGCTGCAAAATAGTAAATTATTTAGTTGACCATCATGTATACTCATTCATGACACTAAAAGAATAATACCTATAAAATCCGGCATTAAACGCCCGTTGGAAAACCTTCCGGTAGGGTAGTTGGAGAAAGTTTCACCGTAAGGCCAGAAATTTGCTTGATAATCGGTAGTGGTGTTGATGTAGTTATTCATTCCAGCATCAAAGAGTGAATCTCCAAAGATGAAAAAGGCAACATGATTGTTGGGCTGTAGGTGATCAAATTCATGGCAAATAATTGGGATCAGAATGCTCGAAAAAGAAACCAAGAAAGAGAGAAAGTACTGCAGCGTCGACATGTCAGTCTGTCAGAGTTGGTGTGCTATTCGTGTATTCCTTATTCGTATATAAAGTTGACAGAAAATTTCTGAATTTCTTGTAATTTACCAAACTTTATTCCTATAAGTTATATTCAATGTGAGTCAAATCAAGTGGCTAAAAGGATACAACATGTCACCGATCAATTGTGGATAATATCGCAACATGGAATTGGAAATGGCCAATAAAATATTTAATATTGCATGTGATGACAGCAAGCAACTGACTTACGCAAAAGCAGCTGCATTTGAAAGCAGCTTGTCTAAGGTGGCGACAGGAATCAGAAGCAAGTAAAATCTATCTTTCTAAAATATGAGGTGGGCTAAAATAATGCACATTTTCTGATAGTCGGACAACCATAATTAATGTAAATGGAAACACGTATGATTGTTAATTCTTGCTTGATATAAAGCAGATAGATTATGTTGAAACTCAAAACCGAGGGAGACAGTAGCCTTTTCCCTCTTGGGCAGTACCCCCTCCCAAAGAGAACCCAATTCTCAACGAAAGCGCTCAAAAGAGAACCCAATCCAAACGATCGGCCTAATAAAATAGAAAGTCCTTAGACTTAAGTACCATAATTGATGGGTATAAGATGACCATGTGAGATCCTAACAAATTATTCTTTATAATATTTCTTCGTGATGAACAACATAGCAACAAACAGTTTATTGAGAGCTCACACTCTCAACACAACTATCACACTCAAACAAATATATAGATCCCTTATTTGTTCTAGAAACTTTATGCATTGATTGATCAGCAATGTTCGAATAGTTTCTTCAGATTGTAAGGCCCTGTGACATTTGGGGTTCCACTCCACATAAGCTCTGCAATTTTCTTGTATCCCTTTTCAGAGGGATGAACAGCGTCAAAGAACAGATATTCATTTGGATTATCACATAACTCATACTCTTTTATCTCTGTCATCCCCCCACAGTTCAATATTCCTCTGTATGGACCACTTCCACAGCACGCCGTCACGACCTCCTTGAAGCCTTCACAACATAGAAATTCATTACAAATTGTGTATTAATGAAAATGTAAGTGCATAAAATATATGGTTAATTTTGACATGACATACCATATCTTGAAGGGATGTTTATAACTTCAATACCAGTGTTGTATAAATCGTGAATTGCATATTTGAATCCTGGTAGTTGACTCTCTAGCTCCTGCAGGACTTTATAGAGTTTTATGTTGTGTAGTTTTGCTAAATCTGATGCAATTTCCAGGCAGGATCCTGAGCTTCCTGGTACAAGCGCTCTCAAGGATGGTGCACAACCTAAAACCCCCAAACCTACCAACCCAAATTTCCTTCCTCCCATCTTATAAATTTCCTGGAAAATTAACATAACCTAATTTAATATAGATCTTAAAACACTTGAAGAAAAAATTACATAAACAAGATGTTATTACTTTGATTGCAGTTGTCAGGTTGCCAATCACCATCCCTATATATTCCTGTGTAGCATTGTAAGATTGAAGCACACTTGAGTTTGTCGACAGAAGAAAAAAGTAGTCATTGCTTCCGATGTTAAACAAGTACACAGCTTCTGATAACAATTTTTTGGTTCCTGCATCACCTAGTTTTGGCTTCAACTGGTTCTCCACAATCTTGAAATAACTTACCTGAGTTTTAAGGTCTATCGCCTGGTATTTACCCAAAAAAAATTATAAGCAAAGAGAAATGTGATAATTACATAGCTATCAATTCATTACAGATTATTCAGCAAGATCACATACAAATCCTTGATAAGTTTCAACTAGAGCACCAGCTCCCCCAGATGCAAAGTTCACCCCATAAATAAAGTTATCGTTGTAGGAAGGCAAAAATGTGGAAATTAAAGGTAACTTGGCATGCTCAGCTGCAAACAGAAGTTACAAAAGTAAGTTGGGTAATGATAATTTACTTGTTGATCAAGAAACAACATATAGATGTATCATACCAATAAAATCTGGAACTAAACGCCCATCTGAAGGTCTTCCAGTTGGGTGTGTGAAGAAGCTTTCACCATATGGATAAAAATTTGCCTTAAATTCAGTTGTGGTGTTGATATAGTTATTATTCCCGGCATCAAACTGTGAGTCCCCAAAAATGAATAATGCAACATGTTTTTTGGGCAACGACCGGTGACTTTGGCCTGGGATTAGAAGACTTGAGCACAGAACCAAGAAACAGGTAAGGAAGCTTAATCTTATCATATTGGAATTCATTGACTAAATCTTTAATGCTCTTCTCCTCAAATGAACCATTTTTATAGGGTTGTTTACTGGAAGAAGATTAAATTAATGAACTCACAGGTTGAACTTCTAAATGTCAGTATATTATTTCTATTGAACTACCTAGTTGCGACGAAGCATATGCGCAGTATCAAGTAATATTCCATTGACATTCCAATACCTTCTACATATTAAGCAACATGATGCATGTTCCTGGATGTTTGAATTGTATATTTTATATCAGTTTACCAATTGCTTTGGGAAAGATCTCAGACTTGGTCATAATTTCTAAATGCTGATTGTGGATATAATTATTCTTTGTGAATAAACAATGTTCCCTGAACATCAATTTCCTCTCTCATTTTGAAGATTGACCACCGAGATGTTTACCCTGAGATGAAGTAGAAAATCAATTTCCTTGGAGCAACTTTAACACAATCTTTATTGTATTTATTGTCTTTTACAATCTTATTTTATGTGCATTTTAATTTCATGTTTGCACTTTCTTCTCATTTTATTCATTACAGAAACTATATACATCAATTGATCAGTGCTGCTCCCATTGCTGATAATGTTGAATCGGTGTATTATTAACTGCTTAATAAATATAATATTGTATTTCATTACATGTCACTTAATATAATTGGTGTTTATCGTTAATATAATGTTGTTTGCGAAGTGTTTCAAATACAAACAATAAACATACCCACGCAACAAACGGGCTTTACACCTAGTTATTTTATAAATTAGAATCTATTATTTCTATCATCCATAGATAAGTGTTGCCCCCATTGCTGATAATGTTCAAATTAAACAATTAATTTATTACAATCATAATCCAATCATCTTCCAAACTTAATTATTCAATATTCAATGAACCTAATTGCTTTGAAAAAGTACACTAACTCAGCTATATAAGCTCGAACAGTTTCTTAAGATTATAAGGCCCTGTCACACTTGGGGTTCCACTCCACATTAATTCTGCAATCTGTCGATAGGCCTTCTCTGAGGGATGACCAGCGTCAAAGAACAAATATTCACCAGGATCCTTACATAATTGATACTCTTTATTTGCTCCCTTTCCCCCACAGGTATTGTTTCCTCTTCCAGGACCAATTCCACAACATGCTGTAGCCTCCTTAAAACCTGCAAAACATTAAGCAAAAACTTTATATCAGAATATGTAGAAACAATTAACGAGTTAAACAAATTAATGAAGGATAAGATGATTTGTATATTTACCATATCTTGAAGGGCTGTCGATTATTTCACCTAAAGAACTGTACAAATCGTGATTCGCGTATTTGAATTCTTCTAGTTGTCTCTCCAGCTCCTGGAGAGCTTTATGAAGTTCTTTGTTGTGTAATCTTGCCATCTCTGAAGCAGCCTCCAGGCAGGATCCTGAGTTCCCTGGTACAAGTATTTTCACTCCTGGAAGACAACCTAAAGGCAGCAAATTCGCAAACGCAAATTTTCTTCCTCCTTTCTTATATATTTCCTGAGACATTGAAATTAATAAGCTAAACAAATATCGTTTTAATGGTAATTAAATACAAAATACGATGCTATTACTTAATTACTTTGATCGTGCTTGTGAGGTTGCCAATCACCATTCCTACATATTCTTTCCTAGACTTGTAGGATTGAAGCACAGATTTGTAAGTTGAGTTTGAGTTGAAAAGGACGATGTAGTCATTGCCTCCAACACTAAACAAGTAAACAGATTTGGATAGCACAGTATTGGCTTCTGCGTCACCTAGTTTCTGCTTCAACTTCTTCTCCACAATATTGAAATAACTCAGCTGAGTTTCAAGGTCTACAACCTGCAATTCAGATTATAAATTCCTTCGTTTTATTGACAGTTATATGCATAAAGAAAGTAATAATCTTATTATATTATACATACATATCCTTGATGAGTTTCAACGAGAGCGCCAGCTCCCCCGGATGCAAAGTTGACCCCATAAACAAATGGCTGATTGTTGTATGGTAAATATGTTGGAATCAATGGTAACTTTGCATACTCAGCTGCAAAATAGTAAATTATTCAGTTGACCATCATGTATACTCATTCATGACACTAAAAGAATCATACCTATAAAATCCGGCATTAAACGCCCGTTGGAAAACCTTCCGGTAGGGTAGTTGAAGAAAGTTTCACCGTAAGGCCAGAAATTTGCTTGATAATCGGTAGTGGTGTTGATGTAGTTATTCATTCCAGCATCAAAGAGTGAATCTCCAAAGATGAAAAAGGCAACATGATTGTTGGGCTGTAGGTGATCAAATTCATGGCAAATAATTGGGATCAGAGTGCTCGAAAATGAAACCAAGAAAGAGAGAAAGTAATGCAGTGTCGACATATCAGTGTTGGCCTGACATTCATGTATTCCTTACTCGTATATAAAGCTGACAGAAATTCTGAATTTCTTGTACTTTACCAAACTTTTTTAGGAATAAATTATATTAAATGTGAGTCAAATGTAGCTAAAAGGATACAAAATCTCACCAATCGATTTTGGATAAATTTCGCAACTTGGAATGGGAAATGGCCAACAAAATGTTTAATATTGCATGTGATGCCAGCAAGCAACTGACATACGCAAGAGCAGTTGCATTTGTCAGCAGCTTGGTTAAGGTGGCGACCGGAATAAGAAGACAGAAAGTAAAATCTAACTTATAAAAATATAAGGCGGGCTAAAATAATGCACATTTTCTACATTTTTTGAAAGTCGGATAACCATCTATGACTATCAACTAATGTAAATGGAAACATGTACGATTGTTAATTCTTGCTTGAGATTCTTGCTTGATATAAACAAGATAGATTTTATTCTTTATAGTAATTCTTCGTGATGGGCAACATAGCAACAAACAGTTTATTAACAGCTCACACTCTCAACACAATGGTTAAAGCAAGTGATATCTTGCTGAAAACATGAGAAAGCGATCTGAAGGGTATGCAATCTGAAGCTTGCGATCAAATGTGCAAAGTTAAGATGGATGCGAATTGAAGACAAATGTGATCAGTAATGATCTGAAGAGCATGTAACCTAAAGGGCATGCGATCTGGAAGAAGCGCAAGGAAGTAATGCAATTTGGAAGCAATATAAGAAGGAATCCAAACAATCAAATATGTATGCGATTAGAAGCATTATGCAACCTGAAAGAGGTCGATGATTCAGAGCCGATCTAGAAAGTGTCACAATTGGTCAACTAGCTGGAGTGGTTTAGCTGATTGTTAGAGATGTAACATCTGACATATTTTGTATTAGTTAAAAATGTATAGCTCTGCTTTAATGTTTAGAAATATCTCTACAGATTAGGAATGTAATTATGCACTGTAGAGTGAGTATGTTCATGATGTATATGATGATGTCATATGTCTATATATAATATTTGATGAAGTTAATGAAAATGTAGACAAGTAATACAAGTCAAGAAAGACAAAATATTTCAAAAAACATTCTTTGAAAAACTTGTCTCTAAGAATACTTTTACGTTCTTTCCTTTGCATTCTCCAGCTTGTGAACCAACAATTGGTATCAGAGCCTAATTCTCATTACCGAGATTCATCCATCTCACATATCCTTAAACACCTTTCCACGAAAAAACTCCCCAATTTATAAACACAAAACCTGTCTTCATCGCGTTAAGCACAACTTCCCTCTTACTACCAGTTTTCAATGGAAAACAGTATCATATGTGGGCTATTAAAATGAAAACGTACTTGCAAGGCTAAGGTCTCTGGCAATGTGTGGTGGAAGAGAAACAGCGACGTCAACTGGGACCAAATCCCATGTTGAACCAAATCAGACTCCATGAAGAAGAAAAAGCGAAAGCTCCAAGAGCTTTATCACACATACACTCGGCTGTCATAGAACTTGTTTTCACAAGGACAATGGCTTGTGAGACAGCGACAGAAGCTTGGGATGAGCTTAAGGAGGAGTTTGTGGAAGTGACAAAACCAAGAACATGCATGTCCTGAATTTGAGAAAGGAGTTTGAAATGCTAAAGATGCAAGAGTCTGAAAACGTTAAAGAATACGTTGACCGACTAATGAATGTGGTCAACAAAATCAAACTGCTTGGAGAAGAGATGACGGATAAGAGGATAGTAGAAAAGGTGCTAGTAAGTCTACCAAAAAGATTTGAGGCCAAGATCTCATCTCTTGAAGATTCAAAAGATCTATCCCAAATTACCCTTATAGAGCTTGTTCATGCCCTACAAGCTCAAGACAAAGAAGGCTACTAAGACAAGAAGACATGGTAGCGTGCCGAATGCACCAAATTAATTAACCTTACTAACCTAACTACTAAATTATATATAGGGTGAGCAAGGGTCGATCCCACAGGGAATGATTCGATTAAATCCTATATTATATGCCAATAACCACAACGAAGACAACAGGAAAATAAAATAAAATCCTAAATAATAAACACGACAGCAGAATAATGAAAGGGGGTTGTAATCAATGCAACCTAAAGTGAAACAAATAAATCTCCAATGGTAGAAAATATCAAATTCAAAACAACCGGTTCTCAGTTCAAGATCCACCTAAACATGCATTGGACATGAACTACCGTAACATTATTCTATCTCGTTATTGTGGAATTATTGACCCTAGGAAACAATAAGCTCTGTTACCCGAATTTTCCCTTAATTGTCACTACTGAAATAAGCTCTTCAATTAGATCCTAACCCTTGAACAACCTAGAATAAGCTCTCTAAGTTTAATTCAATGGCAGCCTTAAGAATTAGGAAAATAGATCAATCCAAGTAACAATCACGCAAGATCAGATTATTTTACTTAGGTTATGTTATTCAAGGTGACAGATTGAGAACTTGTCCGTAATCATCTATCATCATGTGTTACTCATTGAATAGAAAAAGGACAATTACGTATCACAATTCCTAATTCTAACAGATAAAATTCCGATTAAACAATTTAGCAGGCCATTACTAAATCACCCAAACAAAATTCATAAACAATTATAACAGAATAACATAAATAATTCTAATAAGAATGAGATTGAGAACAATGTTACTGAAGTTAAGTTACACCAATGACATGAATTCAGACTTCAAAATCCCCTTGAACTGAAGAAGAAAGATCAGTCGTACATATTGACGTAAAAAGTAAAAAACTAAAAATAAACCTCCACTACTGTTCTCCCTCTTCATTTAACCTAACAACTCCTAAATAAATAATGTGTTCTTTTTCCTTAATTCTCTCGCATGAAAAACGGAAATTACTTTCCTAGATCTTTGCTAAACGATAGGCTTCCAAAACTGTCAAAATCTTATCAGATATGGAAAACAGAATTCGTAATCCAGCTTGCACCAGGATTCTTGCAATGTAAAAGAACTCTTCTGGGCTTGGTCACTTCATAAAAGTTGTAGTCCTGGATGTGTAGATGAATTTGGGCTTTTGAATCACCTGCTTTCGATATCTAAAGTTCCAGTTAGGCCCATTCGAAAACTCAATACTTAGCCAGGAAATCCTTCCGCGAATAGGATTATTCCAGGTCCGGTTTTGCAACAACTAATGAGGGCCCAAACGAACTCGGATTCTCACCCATAATACCTTCCTGGAATGCTTGATTCGTCTACTTTACTTTTCCTGAAGAACCCTTTTGCAATCAAGAAATCTGATTCCATGAAAAACCTGAAAAACGCAGCACTAGTCAGAATAACAAAAACTTTGGAATTTCCTAATCTTTTCTCAATTATTTCATAAAGTCTATCCAAATATGCCAAACTTACAAAATAAACTCTAATCAACTCAACTAGGCATAAAACATAACAAAAACATAATATGGAAGAAATAAAAAAAATATATAAATTACATTCTTATCAAGACAGCAGCGAAGGAGCCATGATGGCTTCGAATAAAGGGAAATCAGTTCAAGGAGGATATAAAAAGCCTGCAAGAGAGAGAAAGAGGAAAGAAAAAACAAACAACCAATGGGGCAAGAATGGTAGGATGAAGGGATATCCACCATGTCCTCATTGTAAGAAGAAAAATCATACTAAGAATAGATGCTGGTTCAGGCCTAACATCCAGTGTAAGTCATATAAGCAGTTCGGTCACATTAGGAATGTTTGCAAGGACAAAGTAAACCAACCACAACAACAAGCTCAAGTGGTCGAAAACCAGCAACAAAATCAAGAGGGAGAACAGTTGTTCGTGACTTCTTGTCATGCAACTCACACCAAAAGAGAAACATGGTTGATAGATAGTGGTTGTACCAACCACATGACACCAGATATTACCAACTTCGTGGAACTGGATCGATCATTCCAATCCAAGATGAAGATCAGAAATGGAGAGTTCATAGAGGTTAAAGGAAGGGGCGAAGTTGTCGTCTAAACTCCAACGAGCATAAAGCACATAGCAAATGTATTGTACATGCCAGAAATCAGCCAAAGTCTACTAAGTGTTGGACAAATGTTAGAGAGAAATTATTCTCTACATTTCCAAGACAAATCATGTACAATAGTAGACAGTGAAGGTAGTGAGTTGATGAAAGCTAAGATGATGGGAAAGAGCTTTCCCGTAGAATGGAGAAAAACAAAAGTTCAGGCTCATTCTACTAGAATAAATGATTCCAAACTGTGGCATAAAAAGTTTGGTCATTTTCATTATAATGACCTTAAGAGAAATGAAGCACAAAAGTCTTGTGCAAAATTTACCAAAGATCGAAGAGATGAGTTTATGTCATGCTTGCCAGCTTGGAAAGTCAAGCAGACAACCATTCCTAGCAAACGCGACCTGGGGAGCTACAGCTCGTTCATACTGATATGCGTGGTCCTATGCAAACTCCGTCCTTGAGTGGTAGCAAATATTTTATGCTGTTCGTAGATGATTTCTTCAAAATGACATGGGTTCACTTCCTGAAGCAAAAGAGTGAAGTGGCCAATGTGTTCAAGAAGTTTAAGTTGCTAGTCGAGAACCAAACTAGTTTGACCATCAAATCTGTTCGCAACGATAATGGGACAGAATACACTTCAACTCAATTTGAAGAAATATGTAGAAAAGCAGGAATCAAGCACCGACTGAGTACTCCTTACACTCCACAGCAAAATGTAGTGAGTGAGAGGAAAAACAAAATGGTCATGGAGATGGCCAGATGCATGATCGTTGAGAAAAAGCTACCAAAGTCATTTTGGGCAAAAGCGGTCAATATAGGAGTCTATCTGCTGAATAGACTGTCAACAAAGGCTCTAAACGATCAAACGCCATTTGAAGCTTGGTATGGAGTTAAGCCAAGTGTGGACGACCTCAAAGTCTTCAAAAGCATCTGTTATGCACATGTTCCAGCGAGCAAAAGAAGCAAGCTTGATGAGAAAGTTGAAGCTAGAATCTTTATTAGCTATAGCAGCCAATCAAAGGCCTATAGAGTCTTCAATCCAAACATGAACAAGATTCTGATCACAAGAGATGTCAGAGTCGACAAGATGTCTGTTTGGAATTGGGTAGAAAAGATGGTCAAAGTTGAAACTAGGCCTCAACAGAGAGAGGTCGCTAACGATTAGAATGAAGCTGAGGAAGATTCAGATGTTGATGAACAGTTGTCAATTAGAGGGACCAGACCTCTAGCTTAAGTATATGAGAGGTACAAAGTCAAAGGAATTGAGAGTTGTGATGAAGGAGGAACTGAATAAGATCAAGAAAAATGAAACCTGGAAGTTGGTTAACCGACCATCAGATCAGAAATGGATCTTCAAGACCAAGCTGAATCCTAATGGATCAATCAACAAATACAAAGGTCAACTTGTAACCAAAGGCTGCATTCAGCAATATGGAGTAGACTTCTCTTATTCATTTGTTCTAATTGCGAGACATGACACGATCAAACTTCTCATTGTGCTAGCAGCTTAGTTCAAGTGGAAGATATTCCAGCTTGATGTCAAGTCAGCTTTCTTGAATGGCTACTTGGACGAAGAAATATATGTGGAACCACCAAAGGGCTCTACAGATGAAAAGGGCAAAGACAAAGTCTATCTTCTAAACAAGGCTTTATATGGATTGAAGTAGGCTCCTGAAGCCTAGTATAGCCAAATAAATGAGTATTTGAGCAAGCTCAGTTATACAAGAAGCCCCAACGAACACACTCTCTATGCAAAGAAAACAGATAGTGATCTCATTATAGTCTCTTTATATGTTGATGACTTGCTAGTAACTGGAAACAATCCTGATCGAGTGGACCAATTCAAGAGAGCAATGCATAAGGATTTTGAGATGACAGACTTGAGAGAGATGACCTTCTTCCTTGAGATCGAGATACACCGATCTCCAAATGGCATATTTGTCTGCCAAAGAAAATATGCAAATGAGATGTTAAAAAAGTTTAGCATGCAAAGTTGTAATCTAGTGAGCACTCCACTAGTCCAAAATGAAAAGTTGTGTGAAGAAGATGGAGGTTACAAGGTCAATGAAAGCAGATATAGAAGTCTGTTAGGCTGATTACTGTATTTGACAGTGACCAAACATGATCTTATGTATGCCTCCAGCCTCTTATCGAGATTTATAAATGAGCCAAGTGAAGTCCGCTTAAGAGTTACCAAAAGGATGCTAAGATATTTCAGAGGAAGTGCAGACCTCGAGATATGGTATAGAAGGTCTGAAGACTTCGACTAGGTCAGACATACTATTAACAACTAGGCTGGATCAGTCGAAGATATGAAAAGCACATCGGGGTATGTGTTTTTCTTTAACAAATAAGCATTCAGTTGGTTGTCCCAGAAGCAAGAGACAGTGGCTTAATCAACTGCGAAAGCAGAATACATGATTGCAGCTACTGCAATGAATCAGGCGATCTAGCGAAGGAAGATCCTAAAGGATATGAAGCTAGAACGATATGAGCCTACAATGATCTTCTGTGACAACCAATCTACTGTTGCAATAGCCAAGAACCCACTGTTTCATGGCTAATCAAAACATATAAAGATCAAATATCATGCTATTCGAGAAGCCGAGTAGAACAAAGAAGTGAAAATCATTCATTGTCAATTTGAAGAACAAGCAGTAGATATTTTGACTAAGGCTTTAAGCAAATCCAAGTTAAATCCAAGTTTGAAGAACTCTGATTTAGACTTGGTGTTTCCAACAAATATATCAAGGAGGAGTGTTAAAGCAAGTGATATCTCGCTGGACACATGACAAAGCGATCTAAAGGCTACGCGATCTGAAGCTTGCGATCAAATGTGCAAAGCTAAGATGGATGCAAGCTAAAGATAAATGTTATCGGTAACGATCTGAAGAGCATGTGACCTAAAGGGCATGCGATCTGGAGGAAGTAACCAGGAAGTAATGCAATCTGGAAGCAATATAGGAAAGAATCCATGCGATCAAATATGCATACGATCAGAAGCATTATGCGATCTGAAAGAGGTCGATAAATCAGAGCCGATCTAAAAGGTGTTAGAGTTGGTCAACTACCCGGAGTGGTTTAGCTAATTGTTAGGGATGTAAGATCTGACATATTTTGTGTTAGTTAAAAATGTATGGCCCTGCTTTAATGTTTAGAAATATCTCTGCAGATTAGGAATGTAATTAATGCACTGCAGAGTGAGTATGTCTATGATGTATATGATGATGTCATATGTTTGTATGTAATCTTTGATGAAGTTAATGAAAATGTAGACAAGTAATACAAGTCAAAAAAGACGAAATATTTCAGAAAACATTCTCTGAAAAACTTGTCTCTGAGAATACTTTTGCGTTCTTCCCTTTGCATTCTCCAGCTTGTAAACCAACAACAACTATCACACTCAAACAAATATATATATACCTTATTTGTTCTAGAAACTTTATGCATTGATTGATCACCAATGCTCGAATAGTTTCTTCAGATTGTAAGGCCCTATGACATTTGAGGTTCCACTCCACATAAGCTCTGCAATTAGCTTGTATCCCTTTTCAGAGGGATGAACAGTGTCAAAGAACATACATTCCTTAGGACTATCACACAACTCATACTCTTTTATCTCAGTCATCCCCCCATAGTTATCTCAGCAGAAGAAAAAAGTAGTCATTGCTACAAGTGTTAAACAGGTACACAGCTTCTGATGACAATGTTTTCGTTCCTGAATCACCTAGTTTTGGCTTCAATTGCTTCTCCACAATCCTAAAATAACTTACCTGAGTTTTAAGGTCTATCACCTAGTATTTACCCAAAAAATTGATAAGCAGAGAGAAAATGTGATAATTACATAGCTATCAATTCATTATAGATTAATCAGTAAGGTAACATACAAATCCTTGATAAGTTTCAACTAGAGCGCCAACTCCCCTAGATGCAAAGTTCACCCCATAAATAAATTTATTGTTGAAGGAAGGCAAAAATGTGGAAATTAAATGTAATTTGGCATACTCAGTTGCAAACAGAATTTACAAAAGAAAGTTGGGTGGTGATAATTTACTTGTTGATCAAGAAACAACATATAGATGTATCCTACCAATAAAATCTGGAACTAAACGCCCATATGAAGGTCTTCCAGTTGGGTATGTGAAGAAGCTTTCACTATATGGATAAAAATTTTCCTTAAATTCAGCTGTGGTGTTGATATAGTTATTATTCCCAGCATCAAACTGTGAATCCCCAAAAATGAATAATGCAACATGTCTTTTGGGCAAGGGCCGATGACTTTGGCTTGGGATTAGAAGAATTGAGCAAAGAACCAAGAAACAGGTAAGGAAGCTTAATCTTGTCATATTGAAATTCATTGACTAAATCTTTAATGTTCTTCTCCTCAAATGAACCATTTTTATAGGGTTGTTTACAGGAAGAAAATTAAATTAATGAACTCACAGGTTGAACTTTCAAATGTCAGTAGATTATTTCTATTGAACTAGCTAGTTGCGACGAAGCATACGTGCAGTATCAAGTAATATTCCATTGACATTCCAGTACCTTTTACATATTAAGCAACATGATGCATGTTCCTGGATGTTTGACTTGGATATTTTATATCAGTTTACCTATTGCTTTTTGAAGGATCTCAGACTTGGTCATCATTCCTATTATGCCTAAAAAGTCAAGGATGATGTGGACTCTCGTCAGCAAGGGTCAATCAGAATTCAGGGAGGCTTTGTGTCGTTTAGACACTGCCATGTCGCGCAATGATAGATGAGGTATGGTTCTCATCAATGCAGCAAGTGATGTCAAGCTTGCGAGCAGCTAGGAATCGTCGACCTGCATAAGCCCTACGCGATTTAAGGATGTCTCTCGTGCAGACAACCAATGGGAAGCAAGTTAGGAATTGTACCACACCTGCCGGGCTGCAGACTCATAATTATTACCTTGAATCCTCCAACTATAAATAGAGGGCTCATCTCCCATTTACGGGATTGGCTTATCTTTAGTGTTAAACAGTATACATTCTCTCTTTCTCTCTTTATATTCTTTCTAGATTGTAATTCAGCTCGCTGCACGCAACCTAACTATAACCTTCTATCAATACAACTACAATTGACGTAGGATTCGCTTTTGAGCATCCGAACCACTTTAAAAACCGTTTTTTATTTATTCTCTCGTTACATATTTTCATATCACGTGTAACTTCTAAGCCCTCTTAGCACTTTACACGTGTGAGTCGTTGGTGTCAAAATCAAACATTAACAATTCCTAAATGCTGATTGTAGATATAATTATTCTTTGTGAAAAAAACAATGTTTGTTCCCTGAAAATCAATTTCCTCTCTTATTTTGAAGATTGACCACCAAGATGTTTACCCCTAACATGAAGTAGAAAATCAATTTCCTTATAGCAACTTTAACACAATCTTTATTGTATTTATTGTCTTCTTCAATCTTATTTTATGTGCATTTTAACTTCATGTCTGCCCTTTCTTCTCTTTTTTTTCATTACAGAAACTATATACATCAATTGATCTGCTATGTTCAAATAGTTGCTTCAGATTGTAAGGCCCATGCAATAACATGTGGAGTTCCACTCCACATTAGCTCTGCAATTAGCTTGTTTGCCCTTTCTGAGGTATGATCAGAGTCAAAGAACATATATTCTTCAAGATTCTCACATAATTCGTGCTCTTTTATTTCACTCTTCCCCCCACAGTTCAATTTATCTCTAAACGGATCACTGCCACAACACGCCACAGCGACCTCCTTAAAACCTTCACAACATAGAATTCATCACAAATTGTAAACTAATGAAAATATAAATGCATAAATATATGTTTTTACTTTGACATGACATATTATATCTTGAAGGATTGTTTATAACTTCAATAGTAGTATTATATAAATTATGAATTGCATATTTGAATCCTGTTAGTAGGCTCTCCAGCTCCTGCAGGAATCTATAGAGTTGTATATTGTGTAGTTTAGCTAATTCTGAAGCAACTTCCAGGCAGGATCCTCAGCTTCCTGGTACAAGTACTTTTTCAAGTGCTCTCATGCCTGGTGAACAACCCAAAGGTCCCACACCATGAACCCAAATTTTCTTCCTCCACTCTTATATATTTCCTGAGAGATCAAAACAACTTGAAAATATATCATAAATTACTTGAAGAATAACATGTAAAATTTAATATAAGATGATATTACTTTGATTGTGTTAAATAAGTAAACAGCTTCTGATAACAATGCTTTTGCTCCTGCTTCACCTAGTTTCTGCTTCAATTGCTTCCCCGCATTCTTGAAATAACTTGGCTGAGTTTTCAGGTCTATCACCTGATATTTACACAAAAAGAAAATGAAGCAAACAGAAATTTCCTAATTTTATGGTGACTTGTAAATAGAAGAAACAGAGGGAATAAAAAGCATACATTTCCTTCATTAGTTTAAACTCGAGTTCCTGCTGCCCCGAATGCAAAGTTCACTTCATAAATAAATTGATCATTTTAGGATGGTAAATATGTTGGAATCAATGGTAACTTTGCATACTCAGCTACAATAGATAGTTAATTGCAAAAGTTATAGAAGAGAATGACAAAAATTTTAGTTGCACAGCATACATGATATTGATAAATAATAGCAAATCGTACCAATATAATCTGGAATTAATCGCCCATTAGAACGTCTCCCAGTAGGGTATTTGAAGAAGGTTTCACCATATGGCCAGAATTTTGACTGAAATTCAGTTGTGGTGTTGATATAGTTGTTATTTCCAGCATCAAATAATGAATCCCCAAAGATGAATACTGCAACATGTTTTCTGGGCGGCGGCTGGTGATCATAGCCTGGAATGATCAGAAGACTTGGACACAGAACCAAGAAAAATACGAGGAAACTTGACGTTATCATATTGAAAATCATTCACTTAATTTCATAGTTATTTGTAGGGTTGTTTACAAGAAGATAGATATATTACTGAACTTTCAGGATTGAATTGTTCAAATATCAGCATATTATTTCTATCGAATGAAGTAGTTGCGCGAAGCATACCAGCAGTTCTGTAGTTTTTCCAATTCTAACTTATAATCAAGACAGCTTTTTGTAAGCATTTCAGCCTTATATTTTTAATCTTTGTAATTTTCTCTCAAGTTATTGATGAAAAATTCAATATTACGACTTTGAAAACCAATTTCTTATCTGACTAATGTTCTTATATGGCTTAGGAAAACCTCTTACATTTGTATCCCTTTTTTTAATGTTTTGAAGTTTGACCACCAAGATGTTTACCAGAAGCTTAATTCAAATTCTCCACTTGATTAATATGTTTGGCATGAAGTATTAAAAATCTTTGACAAAAGGCTTTTAACCATTCAAATAGTGCCTTTTAGATTGATAATAAGAACTAACGCCAATAAAATTCCCAGAATTCTCATCATTTCAATTGTCATCTTATTGTTTATGTACATAGTTATTCTCTTGTAAGGATAAAAGCTAGAAACAAGTATCAAACTCATTTACATAAGAAAATATCCCTTATTCATTATGGAAACTACATTTATTCTGGCTCAGCTTTGTTCAAATAGTTGCTTCAGATTGTAAGGCCCTGTGGCATCTGGAGTTCCACTCCACAATAGTTCTGCAATTTGCTTGTAGGCACTTTCAGTGGGATGAACAGAATCAAAGATCACATATTCCTTAGGATTGTCACATAATTCATACTCATTTTTATTCTGCCTCCCACAGCTTGCTATTCCTCTATATGGACCACTGCCACAGCACCCCGTCACGCCCTCCTTAAAACCTTCACAACATGAATTCATCACCAAATTATATAGCAGAAAAAAATTGCTTATTTAAAAATGACAGAAAGATCAGATGGCATACCATATCTTGAAGGGTCGTTGATTCTTTTCGATAATGAATTGTAGAAATCATGAATTGAGTATCTAAATCCCTTTAGTTGGCTCTCTAGTTCGTGGAGAACTTGATAGAGTGCTTTGTTGTATAATTCTGCTAACTCTGAAGCAATCTCCAGACAGGATCCTGTGTTTCCAGGTACAAGTGCTTTCATGGCTGGTAAACAACCCAAAGGCAGCAAATTTACAAACCCGAATTTCCTTCCTCCTTTCTTGTATATTTCCTGACAGATTTAAGTAGCTTAGATAATAATATCCATCCCAAATAACTCGAAAAAGTGTTTCAAATAATTTACGAAAGATAAAATGATTACTCTGATTGTACTTGTTACATTTCCGATCACCATCCCTATGTAATCCTCCTTAGAGTATTGCCAACGTAGCACACTCGTGTTTGAGGCAAAATCGAAAATATCATTGTTGCCTATGCTAAACAAGTAAACAGCCTTGGATAACAATGTTTCAGCTCCTTCATCACCTAGCTCCTGCCTGAACTGCTTCTCCACCGCAATCTTGAAATAACTTAACTGAGTTTTGAGGTCTATCACCTGGAATTTAGTGAAGAAAATGTGAAGCTAAAAAGAAATTTACAGTTCTTATATGACTTTTTTTCAGCTTAATTAGCATGGTCACATACCATTCCTTGAAAAGTTTCGACTAGAGCGCCACCTCCCACGGATGCAAAGTTCACCCCATAAATAAATTTGTCACTATTGTAGGAGGGTAAGAATGTTGAAATTAATGGTAACTTAACATACTCAGCTGCAACAAAGTTACAAAGCTAAATTAGGCTCTTTATAATGATTCAGTTTCTGATCAAGAAAAAACTTGTAAGTATGTCATACCAATGAAATCTGGGATTAGACGCCCATCAGAAGCTCTTCCGGTAGGATAGTTGAAGAAGGTTTCACCATAAGGCCAGAAATTGGCCTGAAACTGAATAGTGGTGTTGATGTAGTTATTGTTTCCAGCATCAAAGAGTGAATCCCCAAAGATGAATAATGCAACATGATTTTTGGACAATGATCGATAAGCATGGCCTGGAATGAGAAGAGTTGAGCACAGAAAAAATAAGAAACAGATAGAAAAGTTTAATCTTGTCATATTGAAATTCACTTAATCTTGTACATATGCCAATCTCCTGAAATCTTATTTATAGATTTTTTAACTTGAAGAGAAAGAAATGCTATCAACTCCGAGGATTGAATTTTTAATTAATATCAGTCAAATTAGTGGCTTCAGGCTTGGAAGTTTCTGCATTTCTTACAAAAGTCCTGATAAAACCGCAACCTTGAAAGAAAACTAGAGCATCTGAAAAAAAAATTCCAGTGGAAAAAGACTGCTGATATACTTTTCTATTGAACAAGCTTATTTGACATAGTATACTTCGTGAAATCATGCAATTGACTATGCTGTATAAGTAATCTGCTGAAACTTGGGCAGCAAGATGGATGCTTGGATAAATTGAGTTCTCAGATTTAAAAGACTCAGACAAATCACAAATATGCTTTAGAAATCTGCTTATTTCAAGTAAACAGATTTGGATAACAATGTTTTGGGTCCTGCTTCTCCACAATCTTGAAATAACTTAGCTGAATTTCAAGGTCTATCTCTATCACCTGTAATTTTGTGAAGAAAAAGTGAAACAAAGTTCGTATATACCAATGAAATCTGTCATTTATTCGCCCATCAGAAAATCTCCCAGTAGGAAAGTTGAAGCCAGAAATTTGCATAATGCTTTCATTAATTTGTTTGGAAGTTGATCTTTGAAGCTTAGGCCCAAGGGCGCTGGGTAGCCAGGAAGCCCAATTTCCAAGCCTTCCATTTAAATTTATTTAAATTACTATAAAAGAGAAGCATTCTACTTGATTTTGTATATGCAAATCAATGACTATGTATTAAGAAATTTTGAAAAGTTTCTTGAGACTGTAAGGCCCAACAAGATGAGAGTTTGTTGTGCCATTCCACATTGCCTCTGCTAACTGTCTGTTGGCCATTTCAGTGAGATGAAGTGAGTCCCAAAACAAATATTTATTTGGATTCTCACATAGCTCAAATTCCTTCACTATCCTCTTCCCTCCACAGCTAAAAACTCCTCCAAACTGCCCTGTTCCACAGCATGCTGCTTCTCCTTCCTTGAACCCTTCATCATAAAGCACAATACTTTTCAGAAAACGATTTTTTTAACGTGTATCTTAAGGACGCATGTTTAAGCACAAATGATCATATAAATTTTACTAAAGTTAAGTGAGGGGACAGAAACAGGACTAAGGTACAAGAAAAATGGCATGAGGCATTGATAGTTTATTGAGATGCAATTATATATTTCTTTTTTTATGTCAAATAAACAATGGCCGGTCTGTCTGGATTGACCTAATTAAAAAAAAAAAAAAAGCTTTTTGAGCATGCAGAGTTGTCTTTTAACTCATTGAATTTTAAACTTGGGCCCCAACTGTATTTGTTAATGCTAAAGATCAGGCTTTTTGCCAAAATTATTGGAAAAGGGAGAACATATTAACCACACATCAAACTGATGAGAACTTCCAGTGATTTGCATGTCACAACACAAAGTTTGCAGTGTACATACCATACTTGGAGGGATGTTTCATTCTTTTTCTGAGGCGGCTGTTCAAGTCAAATAGTGAATACTTGAACCCCTTTGATTGTTTCTCCAAATTATAGAGGAGCTTGGACAAAGCTTTGTTATGCAGTTTTGCTAGTGATGAAACTTTCCCTAAGCAGCTGCCATTGGTTTCTGGTTTGAGTATTCTGATTGTTGGAAAACAACCTAAGGGTGGCAAATTGATGAATGCAAATTTTCTGCCTCCACTCTTATAAATTTCCTGAAAATTAATGATTTGATAATACAAGAATATCAGTTAAACTGCTCACAACGATGATTTTGGCTTTTTTCCATAAAACTTGCAAGATGGTAAGGCTTTTCTAGGTTACAGAATAAAAAGAAAAACTTACTTTGAGAATTGTTGTTAGGTTGCCAATCACCATCCCAACATACCGGGACTCTGAGAAGGAGTTTAGTATGGTGGAATTGGTCAAGAAAGGGCTAGTGTAATCATTGCTTCCAATGCTAAACAAAAATACAGCTTTTGATAATATCATCTTCCCTTCATCATTGCCTAATTTGTCTCTCAACCAACTCACCACCTTCTTGTAGTAGCTAAGCTGTGTTTCCAGATTAATCACCTGACACAGAAAAAACCAGTAAATGCTACTAACCAAATGCCTTAGCCCGATATCTATGCAAGGAGTTTATTTACTAATACATTTAAAACTTGTTAACTATGAAAAGAGAGTGATATTGTTCGCTTTGAGCGTAGGTCTACATGGAGACCCAATCAAGGGGCCGTCACATTGCCTCATCGGATATCAAGTCCATACTCTAATACCAATTGTCATACTCAAATTCAAGTGAGAAATACTATCTGCTTTTATCCTAAACCTATATGAGTTTGTTTTTAGATTTCACTTCTTGAAACGAATTAGTAGAATAGGATACTATCAAATAAGTCTTTGGGGCCTCATTTGATGTTTGACAAATCAAGCATGCACTAAAGAGCTAGTGGACCCAGTCATTAGGTGCCCCAGCCTAAAAAAGTTTTTGAAAAAGTTGCATGCCTCGACATTGTGCACAAGGTTTGGGTCAACTCCGATGCCAGACATTTCTTAAAAGTGTAGCCATTTTACCTTTCTATCACCCTCTGTTTAGATCGTAACAAGAATTAAAGAAATGAAACAAAAAATAGCTTCATTTTTGTGCTTCTTCTAAAATCTTTCTACTTTTTCCCTTTATATAATTTCTAAGATCCAACCAAAGCCTTAATGACAAACAGTATATGCATGTGTCTTGTTACTAGTGATTAGGCAATATTTTAATGCCATATTATAAACTATGCATCAGTTTGGGAAATAAAGTGCATGTAAATGACAATTATCAGAAGCAATTTCATTTCTAAAATGGAAAAGTAAAATACTTACATCCCCTTTAAAAGTCTCAACTAGAGCACCAGCTCCAGCTGATGCAAAATTCACCCCATGATAGTATTGATGAATGCCAGGTTGAAGAAAAGGTGGAATCAATGGCAAGCCAGCATATTGTGCTACAATGAAGGATGAGACAAGAAGATAACTCTAAAAGAGATAGCATTAATTTAGCAGACAGAAGATATTGTTAGTTTACCAAAAGATTAGCAAATCTTACCTATGAAATCAGAAATCAAACGCCCATCAGAAAATCTTCCTGTAGGGAACTTGAAAAAGGTTTCTCCATAAGGCCAAAAATTCGATTGGTCAAGAGTTGTGGTGTTGATGTAATTGTTGTTGCCTGCATCCAGAAAAGAGTCACCGAAGATGAAGAAGGCGGCGGGTTTCTGTTTCTTCACATGATGCACAGATTTAGCCCTGCAAGTTGCTAAAATGAAGACTAAACCAAGAAAGAAGAAGAAGAGAGAGGTTGGCCTTGCCATGAGTGTCCAGCTTCTTCACCAAACTTGATACATTTAAGCACTCAATATTTGAAATATGCAACTGACCCCATATGTTTAATAACTTTTTCTCTACTTGCTTTGAATGATTGAAGATTAACAAGAGAAGACAATAAAGTTTATATGCAATGCAAGGTTTGGAATAGTCAGCTCGATCCAACAAAATGCATGTGCTGGCAAATTTATCAGATTACATGAAGTTGTCAAACAAAATGGATTTTTTTTTTTTTTCCTCCTTGTTTTGAATATTTGGATTAAACAAAATCATTGCTGAAACACGTTATATATATATATTAGTCTTGATCATTCATGCAATTTAAAAACTCAGCTAGGAGTTCTAGAATCAGAAGACCTTTCTGCTGTTTTAAAACCTGCAGGGAGCCATTTTCAGGACTTAATTAATTATATGTGTCAAGTCAACTAATTTATAGTAACATATTTCATGGTTAACTTACTAAACCATTATTGAATAATATCCCATAAAAAAAAATCTTTGAATAACTGAATAATATCCCATAAAGATATAAGTACCCACGTAGCTGAAATCGAAATTAATCTGCAGGAGTAACATTTTATTGAAGATGAAGTCTGTCATGTCATATAATTGAAGAGAAACAACCATTTATATGGCCTTGTTTGAATGAAGATGAAGAACAGAAGGCAATAAAATGGTTGTAACTTGCAAAAATGTTTGCAGACACAGAGTGAGTTCTCTTGATTGATTGAAATTTAAGCACTAAAAAACTGGGCAATCATTCATATATTTTGTGTGTGTGTGAGAGAGAGAGAGAGAGGATGATGTTATTTTTATGCCTTGGCTGGTGGTAAGTGTTTTGAGTAAAGATAAGCCAGTGAGGGGTGTTTTCTGAGATGTCAGCTGTCCACATACAGTTGGGTATTATCTAATACAATATTCACCACCTTCTTACCAGTAAAGATGAGAAGGATTGACAATAAACTTTTGAATAATGTCTGATATGCAACATATTCAATTTGCTCTTTTCCAGCTTTTCTCAAATTCTTTGGCATAAGGATTTTTTATTGGTACTTCTTTTACCTAAGAAAGTTTAGGTGTGTAGTGTGATGAGAATTTCTGCTGTGAACAACTTTTAAAAATATATATTATAATTTAAATATCTGTTAACCTTTCACACATGTTCATTTTGGTTTAATGAAATATTCTGTACCCATTTCACCAAATTAAATATAAAGAAGTTTGTTTATCACATATTGTCTTATCCACCTCATTTGGTAGGGTTTAGAGTACATTGAATTGGTATTTCTGACTCGTTTGAAAAGATGATATATATGTTTGAACCAAAGAACATGCTCCAAACTCATTATTTAAAGTTGTTAAAAAGACAAATCCAACGTCGAACTACACTCGACGAGATGGGTTGGGGATATTACATCTAAACAAGCAACTTCTTTCGAAGTGCTGAACATAACCCATTTAGCAAAAGTTGTGGCACTAGCAGCAAATTAGATCAATGTAGCCTACGTTAGTTCCCTGGAGGATTTAGCTTACATGGATTCCACTATAGAATTAGCAAAATGTACAAGCAAAGGAAAGCAATATTTTCAGACATTTCTATTATACATAAATAATTCTCAACTTGGTCATCTGAGTACGAAAGCTATTTTGGCAAATACCCTGCGATTAACATTTGAGAATCTTTATATTGATTTGAAGGATGTGACCAGTGCCTTTGTCCTCATTCATGACTTTTGCTTTCTCATATGCTGTAAAAGTAGAGAGGAGGAGAGGTGAGAGCATTGTTGATTTTAAATTTTGTGGATGAGAATGACACAATCTGGTAGGTCAAAAAAGGCAAATGAAATTGCATTCAATTTTTTGGTGTTAAATCAATCCATTGATAGCGACAAATTAACCAAAGCTGACATAATTGTGAAAGGCACAGCACATGAATGGTTAGACCAAAGTTTAGGCAATTAATTTACTTTGCCTCTAAAGTTGCTCATTCATTTCTTCTGTAATATTCTCATACTTGAAAGAAAATTTCCTCATATGTAGATAGCCATGTCACATTTGTTGAAGAAAGAATTGGAATCAGCAGGAAATGAAGCCTGCAAAGTTTCAGAATTATACCATGATCATGTCAAGAAGTTAATTTCAGAATTAATGAACGCGCGAAAGAGAACAAAACAGAGAAGATGATCACAATCAACACTTACGGTATAATTTTGAGCTAATCTAATGGTGTTAATTTCGTTTACGAATGAAATCTTGCTATAGTCGAGATTTATGTCGCAGTCCAGGGAAACCTACAATTGTTAACAATGTGTTAGCAGAGTCAGAAGTATCTCAATGGCAAATAAAAAGTTAATGAAATATAAAGCAACCTTGATCTTTGGCATGGTTAAATGAAACAACTGCAGCTGTACACTAATATCGCCTAATAATCTCATCGGAAGGACATTATTCGTTGACTTATCTTGCGATAATCTGCCAGAAATTATATCGGTAATGTTCAAGCAATGGATCAAAGCTCCCATTACCACATCGGTATTGTTACTATGAGCTGGTTGATTGAATCCTGGTACTCCTATTAGTCCTACAGGAAGACCTTCAAAGTAAAGATGGAGCCATGAAGGGCTGTACTTGATGCCAAGCTTGTTAGGATTTTGAGCATTTAGGATTAAAATGGCAACAGATGAGACAAAGAGGGTTGAATTGGAAGAGGTTTTGAGATCAAATGAAACTACTTTTAAAGATTCAAGAGAGAATATGGGCTTTTGAGGTTTTATAACGAAGATAACACATAATGTAGCCACCCCCACAATAATGACTATAAACAGAAGGAAAATTGACACAAAGAAACTGCAGCTCTTGCAAGAACAAGCATGATAAAGTTCCAGGAAACAAAATCTATCTGAACTTTGTTTTGGAACATCCATGGAGAGTCTTCATTTTGGAGATTAGCCATAATAATAGAAATGTTCTGGTATTTTTTAAACTGAATTAAGGGAACTTCATAGGGAAGGAGGAATCTGATGTTTACTTTTAACTTTAGCCTTCTCTAATTCCTTTCTTAAAGCTATAAATAATTTGAATGCCTTTCTATGTTCCTAACTTTCTACAGAAGGAATGCCTTCTAAAAGTATATCATATTCCATTTAGTGTTGCAAGCTAAAGTTCTCAAAATTTGATTCTTACATTACAAACTTAAAACAAATCCGTGATAAACTAAGTCTGAATCCGTTTATAAGGTTTGCATTCTCTTTCAACTCAGTATAAATTCTACCCAGGGATACACACATAATCATCTAATAATTGTACTGCAACCTTGCTGTGATGATATAATTCATAAATGGAGAGTTATTGGGAAGCACAACCTGGGAGGCCTTGGAGGTTCCCTTTCTTAGGCAAAGGTCAGAAGCTTGTCCAGAAATACATGTGATATAATCATATGGTTTTTTTTGGGGGGGGTGGGGGGGTGGGGGGGACTGGGTAGTGGTCACCCGTGGACAAGAGGACTCTGGGCAGCCCTGGCTCCTTTGCAGCCTCAGGCCAGGCCCGGCCCCTACGCTTGACAAATCACGGGGGACCCTTTATGCACAGGCACAGTCACCCCTGTTTGTCCCTTCTCATCTCAATTTAGTATTGCATTGGTGTAAAAGGCAGCCATGCTAGGGCTCTTCTTCCTAGGCTGACTCATCTCCTCATCTTACCAAAAGGTCCAAAACATAAACTGGGACGTATCCATACCCACAACTGTGTCAAACTATTGCCACCTTGCAACTCCAACCCAAGTGTTCGCATGTTGTGACTTGTGAGGCCGATTATTACGACATTTTGGCACACCTCCCATGGTCCCTTTTTTTTTTTTTTTTTCTAATCATTATTGTGAAGCATACGTCTTCATGTGCAAGGGGGTTTAAAAAATTACGTGCAACACATTTAGCTGGAAATATAATATAAAGTATTCCACCTTTCAAAGCCATCCATGGAAGATGTAGCAGAAAGCCGAAAGCATTGCTTTGTAATTAAAAACTTGGGAATAAGACAAATCCTTTGAGATCGAAATATTCATGGCATTCAACCCCAATATGGTATCAGATAAATGCCTAAATAAGATCAAACTTCCATCACCTGAAGGCCACCTAAAGTAAGATAAAGATGATAATATACAATTGTGAGAAAATAAATTAATCCAGAAGTTAATATTCCTATGGTTAAAAAATAACCATGACAAACAAAAAAATAGAGCAAAGTTGAAATTCATCTGGTTTCAGTATTTCATCACAAATCACACATAACCATTCATACAGTCACCAAATTTTAAAATCTCACAGTTTCAATGTCTCAAAATGTTGAAAGGAACCTAAATACCTATATACTGCCATTATACTAAAAGCTCCTGAGAAACACTCTCCAAATATGGCTTAAGCATGTTCATCAGTTTGTACTGCATCTTCATCAAAGTTGACAACCATTCCTGCAAGCTGTTGAATGAGAAAGCAAAAAACATTAAAGGGGGAAAATGTGAATTTCAGAGAGTATAAAGCATAAACACTAAGAAGCTAACAAAAAGATTAAACTCACTAACATGTAGCTTTATTTACAAAACTAGCAAGCAAGGGAAAGTTTGCTCAGTAAACTCCCCCAGACATGCTGGGGATGTCATCAAAGGTCCAAAGGTTCACTTGGTTTCCACCATACTGAGCATTATCACCATTCAGGAAGGCATCAAGTGAAGCATCCCAGCTTCCATCAAGATACGGCATCTGAAAGTACTTCATCTGATTGTCAAAAGCCAAGAGCTCGTCTGAAAGTGACTTAGCATTATTATCTTCAACAGGTACCACATTCTCAGAGTTTGACTTCAGCTTCTTCGTTGGATTAGCAACCTCCTCAACAAACTGAGATTCATCAACTTCAGGTGTGCCTGCCAAAACAGATGAGATTTCAGGAGTTTTTGCTCCCTGCTCTCCCCAGCCAAAGTCAGAACAATCAAAGGAGTTACTTCCTTGGTCAGAACTGAAGTAAACATTGGTATTATCAGTTGCTGGTGCAAAGGACCCGAAACCAAGGTCTTCATTTGCTGGAATCGGATCCACAAAACCATACTGACTGACTGGTGGCTTCTCCTCCACAAAACCCACAGAGTTGTAGTAGTCCTGATCTGGGTTGTTCAAGTAATTGAAATTCTGATTCAAATTTGACTGAACATGACTTAGGTTCTCCTTGGGAACTGATTTCAGAGAGTTACTCTTAGCTGAACGCTTTGGAGAAGCACGGGGAGTTTCATCAGGAAAGTTCACCTTAGCTTTCTTTCCACGAATCCTCCGTGCCTCAGCATCATAAGCTCTGGCAGCTTCTTCAGCAGTGTTGAAAGTTCCCAGCCAGACACGAACCCCTTTCCTGGGATCACGGATCTCAGCAGCCCATTTACCCCATGGGCGTTGCCGGATTCCACGGTACTGATTCTTTCTCTTTCTTTCTGCAGATCTTTTGGTTGGCTTATTCAACTCCGCTGATTTTACAGCTGCAGATCCTTCAACAAGAAACATAAAAGAACTCTCTTACACAAGCTAAACAATAAATAAAGGCATCATTCATGGGCATGATATTAAATCTTTCAAAAGTAATTGCTGTTTTTAAAGGAGCAAGACAGAGATCAAATAGGCAGACATTCATAGTCATGTAATTTAAAAGAAAATCTGATGATCTCTCATTTTTATTGAATAATTTTAACAGCTAAAACGTACAACACCAGCTGTCGGGGAAAAACACCAACAGTAAATCAGCAGCCATTAAATGAAATAATATGAAGCCATTTTTACCAAATTCACCAATAAAATTATCTTCCACACAAAGGAATTTCACCATGAACTGATCTTACAGTCGATATCAAGAAGCTTCCAAGAGATACATACCAATTCAACAAAATAAAAATTCCATCTTTCACAAACAAGCGGGTGAAAAAAGTGTCCAATATTCAGCAATCAAACAGAATTAATCAATAGATCTATTCCAAGACACCATAAAACAAGTACCAAACAGCACTAATCAGCAAAATTCATGCTACATGATAATATAAAAAGATCAATTTAGTGGTAACTTTATTTCCTTAGATCCCTAAGAGATAAATATGTCAATCGTTTATCAGGAAACAAAGGAAACTTAAAAAATGTTTTTTTACAACAGAAATGAAAAAAAATAAAAAAATAAAAAAATCTGATAAATTAAAAATTTTGAACTTTCAGTAAGAACCGGTTCCACAAATAAAAATCCTAATATGAAATCAAAGAAGCAAGCCTTAAGTTTATATTTATTCATCATGTTTTGACCAATCAAGCACAACTGGTGAAAGATCTAATCTTTAAAACACAAAAAAAGAAAAAACAAAGCACCTCAAATATTAACTTCAGCCCCACAAACAGAAAACCCAGAATAGAAAATGTTATTTAAAAAAAAAAAAAAAAAATCATTTCAATGAAGTGATCCACAAACCCAAATCAAAAACCAAACAGATAATAATAAACTTTTCACTCCAAATCCGTAAGTTTTCTCCAAAAGATAATAATTTTATTCAAAAATTTGAACAACCACTAAATCTCTTAAGATCAAAGCATTAAGCTTCAACCAAAACAATATAAGAATGTAAAATCAAAATAAAATATAATAAAAAAGTTATCTTTCCAGAAAAAAAAAATATATATGAAAATTTACAAACAAACCCATCTCAACAATCACACGGTTAAGCTGTTAAAAGTTACCTCTTCAAAAGGGTACTGTATCTCCATTAAACATAAATAAACACAATAATTCAGAAAACAAAAAATTGTTTTGAGGATGACCAGCAAAGCTCACCACGAGATTTTGGAGGAGGAACAGGAGGATGAGCTGAGAAAGTGAAAGGTTTAACATCAGCCAACAAGTCCATATCTACGTCCACGTCATCATCTTCATCGACCTCAGACTCTTCTTCCTCGTCTTTGAAGCCTTGAAAGTCAGCCTCGAAGTCATCGTCAACAAGCGGCTTTGAGTACTTCTTATTTCCTGATCGCTTCAGCTCCGGCCAAAGATACTCAGCCGTCAGCCGCCGTGACCGAACGTTGGTAGTCGGCGGGATGAAACCTGAAATGATAGCACCGCCACACATGGTTCCGTCTGCTTATCTCAAAGGGTTTAAATGAAAAGATTGAAAGTAAAAGTGCTGAAATGAGATTTCTTCAGAGAGTATTTGTTTTGAGTAAAATGGGGGTTTATGGGTTGGTGGTAGGAGTAGTAAAGCTTTTATATTTGGGGAAGACAGATAAATTTACAATTTTGGCCTCATTTGAAGGTCGGAATTGCAGAATTGTTTTAGGACAAAAGTGAAATAGTATATTCATAAAATAGTGGCAAAATAAGAAGTTTCTAACAATTTGAATTATTAAATTCTAAACCCTTTTAGAAATAAAATTGATAATATCATTATCTTTAAAAGCATCGATCGGATTCTCACCGTCGTCGATAACCTTCTGAGAGACTGAAGTATAATTTAGTCTCTACTCATTTAAGACGTTTTTATCATGCTCACAATTTAGACATTACAAATGTATAATCTATAACTTTGGTTCGTCGATATCTTTCCGAGAGACTGAGTACAATCTCCGATTCTTTGTTAAAGATGCTTCTTCAAACTCACATGCTGCAAATGTCTAATTCATAAGTTTGGCTCTTCTTGTCCGCTCCTACAATTAAAGAAAATTCTGGTGCATTTCCTTCCTTCTGATACGTCAAATATCTAATTCATAAATTAAGCTCTTCACGTCCACTCACTCCTATTAGAGAAAATTCTGATAAATTTATTTCCTTCCGATACATTAAAGGTCACGAAACTTAAACGTCGGTGAACTTTAATCATATATCGGTCATTAATAATAAATTTGTTTCATTTACATCTCCCACAAAGGAAATTTCAAAGGATGTAACTGACTATTTATCTCTATAAGGGGAGGTGAATTTGTGGAAAAAGAGAGGGTAAAATGGGGATTATACATGGTGAATTATTTGATAAATCTGGGCATATGAGGGAAGTTTCTTTGTATGGTAGTTAATTTATTCACTACTAAAATTACTAAATTAGGTCTCAGCATGGATTACATTTGGAAGAGTTTTCACCATAATATTTGTTTTGATTATTAGCAGATGCCTCTTTAATTAATTGCTCACTTAAACAAGATTACTGATTATTAATTTGCATTTATATATCTCATCCTAATTTACCTTAACAGGAGATTACCTTTTATTGTTTCAGATTTTTCTACCATATATATGAACAGGGACGAATCCAAGAATTAATTTTAAAGGGGATAAATTAAAATAATATAAATAAAAAAAAGTATGAGCAGATGAAATCTAGAAATATTGATATAAATATACAATAAGACTACATTGACCGACTGAAATACCGATTGACATATCCTGACTGATGTATCAGTTTTTTTTTTAAGCTTTTGGGCGTGAATCTGACGTGTGGCATATGCCACGTAGACTGACACGTCAGTCAGGATATGTCAATCGATATTTCAGTCGGTCAATATAGTCTTATTGATAGATATATGATGGTCAGTAGGGGTGTTCATAACCGGTTGACCAAACCAATTAACCGATTTTCTAAATCAAACAGGTTTTTCAGTTTTAGAATTTTCCTGAACAGAAACCGAACTGGTTAAGGGAAAAACCAGTTTTTCGGCTAGTGAAAATTGATTAACCGATTTTGAATTGGTTTTCCCTTTAACTTATTTTTTTATTTTGATTTTTTCATGATTTAACTTATTTTTTATTTTGAGAGGGATGAGAAAAGTGAACATCGGTGAGGACAGAGAAGAAATGTATTTGTTTGTGTGAGAAAAAAAAAAAAAAAAAAGGAGAAATGCATAAAGGGCGAAGAGTAAAGAGAAAATAATTTGGGGATTTAAGGTTTTTTAATTTTAAAGTGAAAACTGGTTTTATAAATCGGTTACAGTTAACCGGTTTTATAAATCAGTTACGGTTAAGTGGTTTTAAAATTTCTTTAAACCAGTAACCAAATCGAATTTCCAATTTATGTATTTCCTTGAACCGAAACCGAATCGGTTTGGTTACTAGTTCAGTTTAGTTTTTGCATTTTTTTGGACACCCCTAATGGTCAAAGTATAAAACCAATTCAAATCATCAAAAAAAAATTTTGATTGGGGTCACCAGCCTCCACTCATGGATAGGTAAGTTCATCTATGTTGATGAATTGAGTATTTATATATTGTAACACATATTGTTATTCGATTGGCGATGTAAAACAAATATAACTTCTAACACAACCTCATACTCAAGGTTCAAACCCATCATCGTAGGACATATATAACTTCTAACACTCCCTCATGGTCAGAGATCAAACCCATCATTGCCTCAAACAAACAAACGAATACAACTTCTAACCCTCCCTCACGTTCAAGGTTCAAACCCATCATCACCTCAAACAAACGTGACTCTGATACCCAAGCTTGAGAGGAAGTCTAACCACATATATATACTATATTAGCAGCTCATCAATTTGGCAATGTGAGACAAATACAACTTCTAACATCGATAAACTAAGTCTATATAAATATTATAAAAGTAAGTATTTTTCTACTCGTATACGAAATAATACAATACAATGTGTTAGATGAAGAGAGAATGAAATAAAATAGGGTTCACTTATGGCCACCTAATTGAAAGTGGTTTCACCTGATTTGACTCCAAAAAAAGGAAGATGTGTTGAATCACCTAACTTTTCTTGAATTCACAAGCAATTTTGTATGCCCTAAATTGCTTTTTGTATTCAAACATTTTCTGTTAATTTGTCAACTACTCTAAATTAATCTAATTTAATTTTAGCTCTCAATTATTGTAACTTAATTTGCATTTAAAATGTGGAAATTGTGTAGAAGATAATTAAATATAACTTCTTTTTCCTTCAATTTTTGACTTTATGTAAAGTTAGCTTCAAATTTAATAAAATCTGTAAATGGGATTTGGTGGGTCATCATCTATAGTAATAAGAGGCATTCATTTTCGTGGAATAATTATTCCTATAATTATTTAACAATACTATTGAATCGTCGTAATTAATCGTGTCGTATACAGATTGGTTCTTGAGTGCAAAGATAGAAGAAAGTTTGACTGTAAAACCTATCGTTAGGCCACAACCAAAGTAAGCCCTTGTGATTTGATAATGTCGAATGGAAGAGTCATCGTTATTCAACGGAATAAAATTACTCAAGGAATAAATAATAATAGGTTAATTTTACCTAAAACACTCACATTGACACGAAGGTTTGGCATGACGTTGTCAACTCTTTGCCACCTAAGACTCTAGTGTGTTCTAAAAGTTGGATCGTTCATTCGATAAAACGATACATGAGCTGGATTCAGAACATTGTGAGATAGTTTAGTATAAGTCTAATATTGGCGGTAAAACACTAAGAGGACAATTCTCTTGCACAAGGGAATCGGGAAAAATACAACACTAGTGCACCAGTCATATTACTAAGAATGTCATAGTTTTACTTAATAATAAAAAAAAAATACTAATAATCTAGAATTTAATGTCTCGTTTTATACATACATATATGAATAGAAAATGATAACTATACAATATAATTAAGATGAGAATGAAGAGAAAGTTTAGATGGAAAGTAGACTCGATACACTTGTTTGTGAATAATCTATATAATTAGAGCGAATCGAGAATAGTATAAATAAAATGATCTTAGGTTCAATTTTCAATTTTCTATTTGAATATTCGTGACTTAAATAGGGGATTGGTGGGCGTAAGTTGATTTGGTACACTTTAGTTCAAATAAAAATGTTGCATAAAATTAAAGAAATGGTGATAATAAAAAAAGGAAAGTTAGCCAGTTAGGTGAAGATGAAGGGAGAAGAGAAGAGGTGCATGCACTGGAATCTAATGTGTAAATTAAATATAATTAAACTAAAAGAGGGAGAGAGAGAAGGCTGATTTTGAAGACGACAAAAGCAAAGAAATTAATGGACCCACGAAGGTGGTGAGGACAAATAATTTTGTGTACAAATTCTGTATTTGATTGATTTGATTGATTGAATAAAGATGATTAACACTTTAATTTGTTTTGTTTAATTAATTTTGGCCAACTTTCAGTATTTCATTGCATTGACATTGACACGTCACCTGCCCGTGCCTCAAACATGTAATTAATCTAGAAGGGCACCTCGTTCTTTCTTTCATCGATTGAGTCATTATCTTAATTAATTACTGTTTATGAGGCTATGGAATCATCAAGAGTAATGGATTCTACTAGAATCATCCAGTGTAATAGATTCTACTAGATATTATTTTTTAATGTAAATATACACTAAAAATGTTAATAGGACTTGGCCTACCTTGCCAAAGGCTATGTATATAAGAAACTATAATAGCTGATTTACACACGCTTAACTTTTAGGGTTTTTTTTATGGTCAAAGCCCTTCTCTTATCTCATGCGCATCACCTATAAACCTTTGAACATCATCTAAGAAAGACGAATAGAATTGGTTGCATTTTAGAAAACAATCGAGTATGAGACTAACCAAAACGGGTTGCTAGTATGACTAAAACCTTGTTGAAGGGGTTAATAGCTGAGGGGAGGTAGTCCTCCACGCACACCGTTATTAAAAACCAATAAGCTGGCTATGATAAGCTCTAAGGAAAGAACATGGGTTAAGTTATAGGTTTTGAAAACATGATATCAAAACGGTATTAGTATGGCCGATTTATTATTATAAAACAAAATTTCAGTTAAATTTTTTACGTTATAATATAAAAAATGTTTCTTTTGAAACATTTGACGTTAATCAACACCAATAAACAAGGATACGATTTTAAATTATTATTAGTAACGATAATTAATTTCTAAATTGGCAACATTATTTTTAATACCTAAACTGAGAATCATTGAATTCCATCTTGGAACATCTACTAAATTAGATATCTCAAGCTCAAATTTTTCATTCATGTGGGATTCAAATAATTGTAATAAATTTTATTATTTTCTTTGATGCATGCATCTAACTTAAGGTTAATGTTTATTAATTAACTATCTATTATACATGAAATTTAATCTATTAATTTAATTATTCTTGTTGACCCTAAATAATTTTACTCTAAATTACTTAAATCAAATTGAGTTTTTACTTTGGAAAGAGGCTTACCAAATTCCTGTTGTAATGTCAATGCATGGTCTAACTTTTGCTCTTGGACTTTCCCTTTTTCTAGATTTGGTACGCTACAAATTCTACAATTTTGACCCTAATTAAATGGTCAAATTGTTCAATGTTTCTATCCCCAAAACATTTGGTATAAAGTCCTTGTCAAACTTATTTACCGCGTAACCTTTGCGGCATTTTACTGTGGAAAGTAAGTGTTGAACTATTCTGTTCTTCTGAATAACTGTGATGTGAGACATTTTTTTTTTTTTATTGAAATAGAACATTTGGTCAAAAGATTTCGTATCAATAAGAAAATTATATTTTCTTAAAAATATCAAATACAAGTGCTAATTATATTATTGTTATTGCTAAAATTAAGTTCACCCACCAAACAAATTGATGATTTAATTATAATTAAATCTTGTACATTACGTGGTTTTATGCTAATTATCTAATTAACCAACTTGGAATGTTATACTATTGAAAGACGGAAAGAGATTAGAGCTCGTGGTGTACACGCTTTCACAGCTTGACAAAAAACAAGACTTAACGATAATATTGTGATAAATCCTATGCACCAAATTATTTAAATAGTACATCAAATTGACAAGATGGAGTGTTAGATTAAAATAGATTGACCAATGGTTTGATAGTTTTGACAGATTGTACGGCTGTGATCTCTTCATTAATAATTCAATCACATGCAATTTCAATGTGGACCTTCTACCGTCCCTCAAAATTGTTAAAATTTGTTTTGTGACATATGACCAGGTTCAAGAGTTGTTATGATGGATACATAGAGCTGGGTTATTTTCTCTCCAAAGTTAGCTTTTCAGCATATAATAATAATACAATAAAGATCGACTCATAATCAAATCTTATAAACTTCTATTCACAGTCTTTATATGATAATTCACAATTAATCAACTTACAATTAGACCGACAAGACTTATTATTGAGCAAACAAAACTCATTATAAATGATTAATTATGAGTTATTATATCAGAATTATGAGAAAAAATTTATGAGATTAGATTGCAAATATAGTATTGTTAATAATAATAATAATAATCTCAACAAAACCAGTGGGTTGGTTTAAGGTTTTGCAGTAGTTTTATGAAAAATATATTTTTCAATTCTGGTTTAGCCTCCGACAAGGAAAGGTACTAGGTTGTATGTTTATCCTATTTTTCCGAAAGTCTCCCATTATAAATTTTATTATATATATTTACACATTCAACTCAAGTAATTAATCACTTTGATTAGTATAATATATATTAACATTCAACTCAACTAATTGTACGGCTGTGATCTCTTCATTAATAATTCAATCACATGCAATTTCAATGTGGACCTTCTACTGTCTCTCAAAATTGTTAAAATTTTGTTTTTGCTGACATATGACCAAGTTCACGAGTTGTTATGATGGATACATAAGAGTTGGGTTATTTTCTCTCCTAAGTTAGCTTTTTAGCCAACAACAAAAATTTACTCATAATCTAATTTTATAAATTTTCACTTACAATTTCGATGTGACAGTTCACAATTGATCAACTTACAATTAGGTAAATACGACTTATTATTGAGCAAACAAAACCCATTATAATTGATTAATCACGACCTATTATATCGAAATTATAAGAGAAAATTTATGAGATTGGATTATAAGTATAGTATTACCCATGATAATAATAATAATAATCTCATTAAAACCAGTGGGTTGGTTTAAGGTTTTGCAGTAGTTTTACGAAAAATATATTTTTCAATTCTGGTTTAGCCTCCGAAAAGGAAGGTATTAGGTTGTATGTTTATCCTATTTTCCCGACAGTCTCCCACTATAAATTTTATTATATATATTTACAAATTCAACTCAATTAATCACTTTGATTAGTATAATATATATTAACCCAACCCACCTTTGCAAGTTGTCTACTAGCTAGCTACTTTATATATTATATTTCACATATGTATATTCAAATTAATTTTCATGGTTTTAAATTTAATTGTTGTCTTTTATTGGGAGAATACCCTCTCAACCAACATAAGATTCACGCATAATCGAATGATAAAAGAAACAAGATAAGAGATATTTACTCTGGTTCGGAAACCATTAGCCTTATGACCGGACAGTAAGACTTCAATTATCTAGGTGGATTTTCTAGAAGTCTTGTATTTAAGTCCTATAATGTGATTACTAATCATATTTGTGACTTACTTGACGATTGAACTTGTAAAGTATTTAATGAACTTCGAAACCCTCTAATGAAATAAAAATAAATAAATAAATAAAAACTCTACGTCCATGTTGAACTCCACTCAAGCTCTCACTACTAGGGGTGTGTAAAAAAATCTGATATCCAAAATCTGATCCAATCCAATCAGATATTCAAAAATTCAGATCAGATTCATATATTAATTTTGGAATATCTGGATTTTCAGATCTGATCCGGTTTTGTCCATAACTACAAGTTTTAAGATGTTATTTCAGGGTTCTAGGAAAAAGTGGTAAAGTATGTGGACTGCTGAATACTCGATGACAACGTTGGGGATCAAAATGTAATGTTGATGTGGCAGGGTTACAAGTTACTAAAGAATAATGCAAAATTGATATTTTCCATGCAAATTCGGATAACCGGATCAGATGAAATCTGGATCCATTCAAAAAAGATTCTATCATGATCCAATTTTTCGGGTCGGATTAGAAAAATACAAAATCAGATCGGATATCTAATTTTGCACACCCTATTCACTACACTATTAACATCCTTTTTGTGATAACATTTCTGCACGTAAGTTTCTTCCTTTATTCACCATAACAGTAAAATTTATATAAAAAAATAAATTAAAATTCAATGTGATAGAACAGCGTAACATAATCCAACCTCATTACATAATAACTTTTTAGTCAAGACGTTCAGATATAAATTTCGCCATAATAATGTTTAAAGTTTGAACTTCGTTGGCTCATCTCTGTTTAAATGATTTGAAAGCAAAACCGTGTACATAAATCATGCATATACACGCAAAGACCTATAATTTTTGGAATAGTATACGTCTTAATCATCGAGAAACTTAAGCACGTTGAAAAAATGCAGAATTTAGTAAATGCATTAAGTAGAAGTTTGGCACTGTGAAAGCAAAACAAGTGGAGGACCACCAAGAGATTCTTATAATCACAAGACGAGATTTCGTTTCTAAGTTGGATTCATTTCAGAACAAGGGCTTAGGTCATTTTCTGTCTTTGTTCAATTAGCAGGTAGTGATGAAAAGGATGGTGCAGGCAACATCAGATTTGCTGTATCATTTCTTATGTCACCATTCCAATTATGCAGAAGCTGGCTCAATGATTCCATTTCTTCGTCAAGAAGGGGAACTATGGTATCGAACTCGAATTTTGGTGTGAAACTCCCTTGTTTAGGAGTAAAACTTGAAGGAAAATAGACCATAAACTCTTGTTGTTTCATAGCTTAGCAATTTCCTGCTCACTTGTTTGTGTTAAGCCTGCTTGGCCAGGGCTGAAAAATGTCTTAATTGGTCAAGTGTTATCAGGCCCATGAAAAGACAATATATTGAAAGATTTAAAGACGAACTCCTGTTGTTTCACATGAAGGTTATGGATATTTACCTCAAGTCCCATCCTGCAGAACTTTTGCAGAAAAATGGATCTTGGAAAGTTAAAAAAGCACTGCTTTGATCTTATGACATGTGAGCTAAGTAGCAAATTCACTTTCTAGATTGCTGTGTTTTCTACAAGATTGGAGTATCTCATCATAAAGTAGTGAAAACAATAAAAAGCTGGCCTATTTGCACTAATAGGCTTTTGTTACAGGACTTAGCAGCCCAATGCTTGTTCCCCATAACATTATAATATTGAACCTTTGAATGAACTGGGATCCTTGTTTGATGCTTGCTCACAGAGATTTGAACAGGAGACATCATAATTCATGGACCAAATGGAAAACAGTGACTATGTTATGGTCATGGCTACATAAGTGACATTTACAGCTGAGTTGCTTTCATCAAACAGATGAAATATCTTCTTCAACAATTGACATTGATTTTGTCCCATCCCTAGGCACAAAATCCCCAGAATTCGCGTAGGATATATTTAATGCAACAGCAACAGCAACAGCATCAGCATTCGCAACGCGCAAACGCACGTGTCATCCATTTGTTGTTGCACTGAATGTAGTATGAACCCACTCTGAAAGCGAATGACTTCAAATCTCCACGACTATTAATAAGAGATTGTGTGTATTACTTAAAAGGTTTTGACTTCAAAACTACTAATAAGAGATAGTCATTGAAAGCTTACCTGACCGTTAACTTCAGAGTCTCGGAAAACTAATCGAAATACGCACAAGCTAACCCGAGCATCCGATACCAAAAAATCAAATGTTGTATGGTACAGAACAGTTCTTTTAATCTATCTTTTTGGCTTAGACACAACACTTAATGCTTTGGAACCTGCTGTCCAAGTCCTCAGTTTCTTGCAAAGACATGTGCATATTGATTAATCTTATATATAAGGACAATCAATTGAGGAGTTACCCCACATGATTTTTGTCTTGATGAATGTCTTGGTCTGTAAGCACATACTTTTGTCTAGAATCAACCTTCCCCACATGCATTCACCATACACACATAACAATTAATTTGGTTGACAGAAATTTTCAACAACACAACAGTTTCAGTTGAAGAAAACACCAAGAAATATTCTTATATATTAAAACTTGAAAAAGACAGACCTTTTTCACTATACTTGGCTACTTCACTTCACACACAAGGATTTTTACCCCACATTGTTGATTCTTCAACTTACAACAAAGATACAACATATTTCCCCTTCTTTTTCAGTCCATCTGCTTTCTGATATAGAAAACACCATAACACATTCATTCTCATTATACATTTTTAAAGAGAGAGATAGATAATTTATAAACCTATAAAAAAGGAAGGCAAAATTCCTAAAACCCATAAACCCTATCACACAAAACTAGAGAGGTTGCTGCATTGTCACAACTAAGGGACTAGTGACATTATGCTTCCCATCTGTCCACATTATGTGACCACTCTTCACACTAGAGCTCCCTGGAGAGAGCTTAAATGCCATGGCTTCAACCCTAACAAGAAAATTCAGTTTCTGTCCCACCCTCCTAAACACAAGTTTCTCCGGCTGGACTGTCACCTGCGTGCCACTTGGTGGCCTGATTACGACTTTGTAAACCGAATTTGGGTCCCCAACATTAGTCACAGTCCTAATAAAATGTGTAGACATCTTATGCTCACCATATTGTTGGAACACTGCAGACAGAGAAGGGTAATTCAAATTCCCAACATGACCAGCCCTTTTGGCCCCTTTGCAATCTGCACTTCTCCTTGTGATCACTTTGATATTAGTAACCGAGTAATTTGAATTGCACAAGAAGTTCACATAATCATAGGAAGATATATCATAAATCAAACCAGGATCCATAGCCTTTTGGGGGTGAACATGACCAGCTCCAAAATCTAACACAGTAGAAGTGTTGCCGGTGGACTCGTCAAGCATTGTGTCACCACGATTATCAACCGTATAAGCAGTTGTCATCAATGCTGATCTTATTGCTGCAGGGCTCCATTCAGGGTGCGCCGCCTTTAACAGAGCAGCAAGACCAGAAACATGTGGACAAGCCATTGAAGTTCCAGAAAGTATATTGAACTGAGTTCTCCGCATATCAGAAGGAACCCCAGATGGTCCAACTTTATCCGGCCAAGCTGCGAGTATATTCAGTCCAGGAGCTATCACATCAGGTTTCAAAATCTCAGGGGACTCTGGATTAGGCCCTCTAGCTGAGAAAGAGGCCACCACCGGAGCTGGCTTCACGTTAACTCGAGTCCCCTTAAAGACAATAGTTGCTATTGCAGGTGATTTAGCTTTCTCAGCATCTGAAATGTACTTCCTAATCTCATCACCACCTGAAGCACCGACCGCAGTAGCCGGTAACAAGTGACAATCAGCAACTAATCCTTCCCCATCAAACACCCCATTAGCTAAAATCATCCCAATTCCACCAGCTTTCTTCACAACCTCACCTTTAGCAGCTCTAGAATTTATCCCTCTATCACACAAAACAAGTTTCCCCTCAACATATTTAGGATCCAGAGACCCTTCTAAACACAAAGAAGCTGAATAGCCATCACCCTCTTCACTCCCTGCATAAACTAAAGAATACTTCTTCTCAGGGCCACCCAAACCCGGCCCACCATAAACACTAACTCCAGGAACAATTTTCCCATTTCCCAAATGAACATCAGCTGGGAAATCTCTATCAATAGTACCAGCACCAACAGAAGTAACCCAAGGAGCAACATTGGTAACAGTTAACCCACCAGGGCCACCATTACCAGCAGAAGCAGAAACAAAAACTCCGTGATCAGAAGCACCAAAAGCCCCTATAGCTATAGCATCCAAATAATAAGGAACAACAACACCGCCCACACTTAACGAAACAACATCAACACCATCCGAAACAGCACTATCAAAAGCAGCTAAAATATCGGAATCATAACAGCCAGCATTCCAACACACTTTATAAACAGAAAGTCTAGCTTTTGGCGCCATACCTGATGCAAGCCCACGTGCGTAGCCCAAAGTAGAAGCTGGAAACACGTACCTTCCAGCAACTATAGAAGCTGTGTGGGTTCCATGACCGTCCGAATCTCGGGGAGACCGAAACTCGGAGGTTTCATTCATTTTCCCATTAGTCGATTCGTAGCCTTGGCAGAAAAACCTGGCACCGATTACTTTTCTATTACAACTCGAACTTGGGAAGTCTTTAGCAGTGACACATTGGCCTTTCCATTTGGCGGGGACAGGACCGAGATCTCGGTCATTAAAGCTTTGTCTTTCGGGCCAAATACCGGTGTCAATGACAGCGATAACGAGGTCGGAACCAAAGTCAGATTCTTTCAACAGGCCGGCACTGTCGGAGGTTTTTAAGCCCAGAAACTGAGGAGAACGAGTAGTGTGAAGGTGGCGAACTTGTTCAGGAATGAGAGCAATGATATGGGGGAGAGTTTTGAGTTGTTGAGCTTCAGAAGAAGTGAGTCTAGCGGAGAAGCCATGGAAGACAGTGTCGTAAGTGTGGATGAGAGAGGTGGAGGAGGAAAGGGAGGACTCTACCCTAGTGTTTGTGAGTTGGGAAAATTGAGGGTTTGGCATCGTAGTGGACTTGACGACGTAAGTTTTGAGGGTGTGACATATCAACCATTAGCTGAAAGTGAAAAAGAAGAAGAAGGAGAAGTGAAATGAAGAAGAGAAGAAGAAAGGTTGAAGAAGAAGACATGGTTGAGTTGAGAGAGAAGAGAAGTGAATGAAAGCATTAAAAGGAGAGAAGAGGGTATGCGGAATTGTGGATCAGTGACAGTTGGTAACTGTGTATGTGGTGCCAACGCTCACTCCTATTTTATTTTTCAAATTTATTTCGATTCAATTCCATCCATTTAACATCGTTAACCAGAATCAGAGAGGCAGTGAAAGCTTAAACTATATGAAATCTTTGTTTCTTATTATTTTTCCATGAAATAAAACAAAACAGAAAACTTTGGTCCGTGACAGAGATGTATAGGAATAGGGATATATGTTCTTGTTAAAAAAATGGAAGCTTTTGGTTAATGTGTCGGCCAGTTACAGTAGTTGTCATCATGCAAGATACGTTTCCATGGTGATTGATGATTTCATTCATTCATCAGAAGAAGAAGCAACACGTGGGGAATCTTAGAGCAAACTCTTATGATGGACTCACTCACACCAAAAAAAATCAGTCACATTAATCATGCTAGTTCAGCTTCTAAATCTTTTGAGTTAACATCAAAAGTGCTTCTCAGCTTCGCTTCTGTCGTTTTAACCTATCCAAATCCAACTTGCTTTTCTGATGCTCTCTCTGCCACCGCACCATTACCTCCTTCGAACTTTAACACAAAAGTTCAAGAAACCAATTCAATTCAAACAACACGCTTGACTACCCTATTAAAACAAAGCACTTCTTTACAAATGAATTATACCTCTCAAGGGGTACTTTACTATAGTTGAGTGGAAAGTATCTATTTAGAATGTGAACACTTCAATTTGGCCTTTGCTTGTGTGGACACATTTACATTAAAATCTACTCTCTAGGAATCTCAATTTTTTTTTTTTAATATCAGGGTGTCTGTAGTGTACATATCTCGATTAATCCCCCGAGATCTTAAAACTACGAGCTAGATAAGAGCTCTAATTGTCACCCTATAGGAGCTGTAAGGATTCGAACTTGAGAGATTATGTAAACTTAGATTCTCCTTTACTCTTTTACTATCAGGCTACCAAGTGTGCTGGTGATTAGGTATGCAATCTTTCCCATTATGCAACACTAATGTAAATTGGGTAATGTTCTACATGTGACTCTTGACAATAGAGCTATTTGATGTCTTTTATTCTGCAACACTTGTGTTGTTATGAATGATTTGAAACTGGGAAGAATATGAAAGCAAACATGTTGCAGATAGGCATAAAATCGAGTCAAGCCACTTGCAAATGGCTCAAGCTCGGCCGAACTCGACTCGGTATTAGTTGAGTCGAGAGCCGAGTTCAAGTGGTCATTTAGTTCTATACAGTAGAACTCGAACTCGAATTGATTAAGATCGAATACTCGAATTCGATTGAACGCTATTTTTCAAACTCGATTGAAACTTATTTCAAACTCGACTAAAACTTGATTATACGCAAGGGCGGATCAGCCTACTTTTGGCCCACCCTCAATTTATTAAAAAAAAATACTAATATATATAATTTGGACTTTCACCCACCCTAACAAAAATATAATGTGTAATTAGTTTTATTTTGGCCAATTCTAACAAAAATTTGGATCCACTACTATTATACGAACTCGAATTTAATTTCGATCGAGTTCGAATCAATTTCACAAGCTCTATCAGGCTCGAACTCGAACTCGAAAAACCATGTAAACTTAGATCCTATTTTACTCTTTTATCATCATACCACCCAAGAGTGATTAGGATATTCATTCTTCATTCTGCCACCTATTGTTAATGTATAATGCTTCTACATGTGATCTCCTAACACTAAGATATGTATAATGTCCTTATTCTGCAACACGTGTATTATGAAAATTTGAAAGGGAAGAATTGAAGCAAACATGTTGCAGCTACTTTGTTTAGTTTCTTTTCACCCCACCCATTAATGTTCCCAAGCAATAAATTAAAGACTGTAATTGTTTAGTGTGCCTGTAATTAGGCTTCAATGCTAGCTATTCATGCAATATGTACCCCATGCCAAGGTGATACCCCAACAATTCAACTAACGCTATAAAAAAATCGTTAATTGGCTCACAGAATCATTTTAAAAATAATTTTAGTTTCTATTTTTCAATGCTGCCAAAAATTCCAGAACTGAGCATACTGTATTCAAAATATTAAATGTTTTACGTACTGAAAATTTACATTTTCTTAATAGAAAATAGACATATGAATTAGCACCAGTACAAAATTCAAAGCAAAATAAATTTCCATTTACAAAAAACTAAAACAGAGATTTAAAAATTCGTATATTTGGTATTTTTTTTTTTTTTAGTGAAATAAAATTCTATAGCATTCTTTACTGTTCTAAATTTAATATATCTCAAAAATCTGATTTAGTTTACAAAAATAAAAAAAAACAACAAAAAATCGTGGAACGGAACACTGTCCATAATTCTTCTGAAATTTCAGTTTTGAACAATAATATATGAAATTGCAGAAAATTTATTATTGAAAATATAATTGATACTCAATAAAGACTAGTTTCCTTTTCTTCTCTCTCTCTCTCTCTATCTCTCTCTCTCTCTCTCTTCCTCTTCTATATATATATATATATATGGTTTTTAAAGAAATAAGCGACTCTTTCAATTATACAAAGATACAATATCTCTATTTAAAAAACAAAATCATATAAAATAAGTATCTATCATTCATTCAAACTTTAAAACTCAAATGCTCAATCAAATAAAAAGCATAGAATAGGTCAAATTCAATCTTATTAAAAAAAAAAAAAGTCAAACAGAAAAAAGGACAATACAAAAAAAAAAAAAAAGATTCACTATTATTATTATTATTATTTTTTTTTTTTGTGATCGAGGGTGTCTAAGCCGCTCTACGGACGACTAATCTTGGGACCCTAAAGTTAATAACCAGATAAACCCTCAATGGCTATCCTGCTAGGGACCGAGGAGAATTAAATTAGACTTTGACTAATACACTCAATAATCCTATCACCCCACCTGGCCACCTAAGGGTGCTTAATTATTTGCATATGTTAAGTAAAGAAGTTATATTATTACAAATGTTAATCGTATTATATATATCCGTTTTTCCTGTAGGCCTCTGTATACCCTTACAACTGTAAAATTTTGTATTTGAAAAAAACTAGATGATAAAGAAGAGATATGAAAAGAAGAAACTTTGGGGAAAATATTAAAAAGATGACCCATTGAGCAATGAGAGAGGTAAAGGAAAGCCAATACTGTACTGCGCATGGGTGAGACAGTTGGCCATGGCATGGGTTAGAATCATCATATTGCCCATTTTGGAAGAGGGAAGGCTGGTCCTGGTGGGTAGGTCCATTGCTTACACAGATTACAATATAAACGCAATTATCAATTTCTTTGAATGTGACCCTCTTCTTGCTTCTTCCAGTATTACATTTGCAAAATCTTTCTCATCAACAAACAGCTAAAAGGTGGGGACTCTTGCTCTTTGCATATGGACAAACTTCCGTTTCTCCTTTTCTCACTTTGAATTTCAAAATTGAATTTTATCACAATATTTAGCTACCTAGCATCTAGCTTCTTCCCTCCTCTCTTCTCTCTTGTTTTCCATAACAAACAATAAATCCCTCAGACTTATCTCATTCTGACTTTAGTGTCACCTAACTCATGTAGTGAGGCAGAATAACCTTTCACATGAAAGTAGATTTACTTTTTATCCATCCCAACATCGAATTGTGAGATTTGAATATGAGATCATCGACTTTGAAATTATATTAAGTTAGTATTTGACCTAAAAGTTTAAGTTATTAGTAAAGATTCTGGGTTAATATTTTAGTTTTCTAACTCCAAGGGATTAGCTTTAACTTTTAGGTTCAAACTTTGATGTCACCACACAATAATATTATACTTATTTGATTATTTGAGTTTATAGGGAGTTCAATGGTGGTCTTTGGACTTACAGGGTTTCAATGGATTCGAAAATTAGTTTAGGTATGCGTAAACTGACTTGACAACTCCATTACAAAAAAAAAAAAAAAAAAAGATTTCTAACCTACCTGATAGTAAGCGGAATAAACCTTTCACATAAAATATAGAATTTAAACTTGAAATCTAGCTTTGATATAATGTTAAGTTAATACTAAACATAAAAGTTTAAACTATTAGATAAGGATCCAGCATTGTTTACAGCTTGAGGTCTTTTTGTCAACCAATTGAGGTAGTTACCCCACTTTTAAGGAACGAGTTATTATGAGTGAAAAGTTACAGTAGCAGTGGTGAAAACCAAAAGAACACTACTGGAGACAATGAGGTCCCATGTATGACAGTGCAGAGAAATAAATCTAAATAAAAAAGAAGGAATAGAGTGGGATAAAGGAAAAAAGGTTGAGCTAGGTGGGGTTTGATACAGTTCACTTGAAATTATGGCTGTCTTATTCTTACTATTAATTAAAGAAGGTTGATTAAGAATGGCCCTCTGGGTTTGGTTTTGAATTTATCAAGCAAAGCAAAAGCAATTCGATTATGGAGTTTGACAAATCTTTTGTAGGTATTGATTAACGGTAGGTTAGACTTTAAGCACGTTTTCAGAGGAGAGTTAGGTTATTGATTCATCAAGAAGGTTCTTGCTTTTCTGTACATTATTGATTGTATATATCTCCTTTGTCATCCTCTTTAATTCCATTATTGACATCTAAGCTTGGTTAACTTTCGGCTGAATAATACTTAATCTTCGAAACTGATGCAATGAGCCATTTGGATAGGATCCTCTTTTATCACTCTAAAGACTAACTTTGATGTTATTTTAAGGTCATTTCATACTTAATTAGATAATCTAGCAAGCTTCTTCCATGAATACCTGATTTGATTTAAGATTCGGACCTCTTCTAGTTAAAATATTAATTCATACATGTTTTGAGTTCACTTTTTTGGCTAGAATTCAAATTTGAGTTGAAGAGATTTATCTTCTTTGTGACCGGGTTGTCCAGGCAGCTTACACCCTTTGACTAATTCTTGAATCCATTAAACACCCTACAAGTTGATAGGTCAGGTAGTCAACGATTAACCTCGGGTATTAATATCTACAAACTCAATGGATAGGTAAATCACAAATGTGGTTAATTACCACTTTGTGAGACTCAAATACAAAACCTCTGAGTAATCTAAGGCATTGTCATATGGCCACATCCAAGGGTTAAGAGAAATACTTATGTTGGATGATTGACTAATGCAATGACTAATTTGGTTATTCTAAGTCATCTCTCCACTCAGCTTCATTTTTAAATTCAAACTATTGTGGTTAGTAAAGATTATTCATACATGTTTTGAGTTAACTTTTGTCGACCAGAATTCAATTCGAGTTTTAGATCAGAATAAATAAAAAAGTTATAGAGATTATACTTCTCCGAGATGATTAGGTGAGAGCTTTATGAGAACATACGTGGTTTGTTTATTATTTCAGACTTGTTGTGCAGAATCATCATGATTAGGGCTCATATTATTGAAATATTAATGGTAAAAACCAGCTTAGCTTACATTAATGATTAAGATAATCTAGAAGTTCATCTAACAGAGAGCTAATTAAAGAGTTTCAGGAGAAAGTGCATAGATTATTTATTAATTCCCTTAAACAGGCCCTTTTTCCCCCAATTTTCTAATCAAAATTGAGCTTGGAAAAAGCAGTTCATTGCACTTTGAATAATGCTTGACTCAAAGTTGGAAAAAAGGAATCAACATGGACCCATGGGCCATCTGTAAGTGCATCAGAGAACACCAGATCCACACGTTTACTGTCACAGGTCAACTACGTTGAAGAGATCAAATGGTGACCCATGTGTTTTTTCTTTTTCGGGATTAGGAGGTGTCCAAAGTCACCTCAATTAGTCTTTCAAAACCGTAAAGTTAAAAGCCAAGTAAATTTTAATAACTCTTCCTATTAGTGTCGTAGAGATTTGAATTTAAAATCTCTTGAGTAATATACCCAAGAGTTCCAAGCGAATAATTGGCGACCCATGTGTTCCCTCAACAAAAATTTTATTTGTGCGTGTTGTGGCTGATTAATTTCAGTCTTCCTTTATGATGCTTGGATTGGATGCACATGTTTGCAAGCTTAATATAATGTCATACCCTTACCTTTACATGTAAACACGTACGTGTTACGAATTGAGATCTATTTATTGATAGAAATTTTACAAATTAATTCAAACAACAATCAATCAATCAACTAATATGAATTAGTAATCAAGGTTTATAGAATACCCAATTGGTCATATCTTTAAACTCTGGAATTACGGTGACTGGTCTTTCTTTCCAAAAATTGCACCAAATGATGTCTTTCAAATGAGACTCAACGTAAGATCATATTTTGGAAAGAGGACCTAACTTGGCCCTCCTATAAATGCCCAATAAACTCTAAAACCTATTACGGCTCAAATTCACACTTATCATCAACAAATATTATTTAATAATAAAGTGTACTAGGCAATCCTGAAATGATCATATTAAGCTCATCAAGATACTTATTGGATTATATGTTTATCAGGTTGATTAAAAAAAATGGTCTATTTGTTTTATTATTTTGGATAGAATTTATAGATTTTGAAAAAGTAGAGTTGGGTGATTATTACAGGTAAGATTTGAAAATAACAAAAAATATCTCTTAGGTTTATTAATTTACTGAACACCCATGTAATAAAAACATTAAAAATTAACAAAAACACCTCACTCATCCATTAAATACCAGTAGTCGCTACCACCATCGGAGGATGGTCGGAGTCATCTATTGGCGCAACCAGCTGGATCTGACCGGTTAGTGTTGATATAACATTTCTAGCCGGATCTGGCCAGAAAAATCAAATCTACGACTAGTTTCTGGCCGTTGACGGCCTAATCTGGCCGTGTTTGGTCGTCAATGGCGGCTAAAGATATAGTCATCGTTGACGACTAACTACGGCTAGAGATCTGACCATCAATAGCAAGATCTTAAGCCTTAGATTTGACTTTTTCTTTGCTAGATTCATGGTGAATCTGACCGGAAAAGGCTAAATCGACTACTACTAATCAGATCTAGTTGGTAGTGTACCATTATATCAGATTCCAACCACCTGTTGGTGGTGGTGGCTGAAATCTGATAATGTAGGTAGATGGATGTTTTTTATCAATTTCTAAACTTTTTCTTTTTTGGTATTAGTTAAATTAACAAACTTAGAGAGTTTAAAATAATTAAATAAAATAAAATAAGATTTCAGAATAAGAAAATAAATATGTTTTAAAAAAATAGGAATAAGATAATATAAAAAAAGGAAAAACCACCCATATTCATGGTAGCCTATAATTGAGAAATTTTCCACATTTTTCTATGTGGTTCATATTACACGTGATAAGACCTATGAGAGAGATTGATAAACGGATTTCAAGGAATAGGCTAGTTGATTTGCGGAATTTAGGTTGGTTAAGTTAGATTCATGAATGAGCCTAGAGAGTGGTTTTCCCAGGCTGTACTGTGTTGTGCCTTTGTTTGGGCAAAAGGGGCCTATGCTATGGGGATAGTAATCTCGTTGGTGGCGTTTCGATAATTAATTACATTAACTAACCCATTAATTGGTACGGATAGATTGATTTAAGATTTCTAAGTCAAGAGAACAATAAATCAAAATATAAATCTAATTTCACTAAGGAAACAACTATTCCAATTCTATCTCCGAAAAATTATTTGACTTGTGTTTAATATTTTTATTTTCATGAAGGAAGTTTATCTTTACTATGAAGCATAAATTATGTATTTTTAGTTGGATCTCTGTTTAATGAATTTGCAAATTTGGCACCTTAATTACTTGCTATTCCATTGTTTAGAGTTGTACCATTCTGTGTAGTGATAATAGGGTCTTGATTTTCCCGATGGTAATCTAATGTATAACGCGTGGTGAGGTTGTATATTATACATTATTTTTATATTAATTCTAATAATAATACTAATTAGACAAGTAAATATTCCTGAAAATTTTTAGCAAGGGAATTAGGACTTTGAGATCATTAAGAGATACTAACATTAATTGCCTCTCTGCTTAGTCTATATTTAATAAGATGTTATATACATATATAAACACATAAATTAATCACATAAGCAATTCACCAAAACCATCAATGGAGGCATCAAACACGGGAAAGAAGACCAAAGGTCGTCAAAGAATTGAAATCAAGAAACTAGAGAATAAAAACAGTCTTGAAGTCGCCTTCTCCAAGCGAAAGAAAGGGATTTTCAACAAAGCTAGTGAACTTTCTTTATTATGTGGTGCTCAAGTTGCCATTATCATAATGTCTCCAAATAATAGACCTTTTAGTTATGGTCATCCTAGTGTTAAAACTCTTCTTGATCGTTTTTTCTCTGGAAACAATGAGCCTTCGGAGTTTTCGACCAACAACGAAATGTTTGACACGATTAAACATGAGATCGACAGGTTACAAGATCAATTTGAAGAGGAAGAAAAGATTGCCAAGGAGATTAAACATCGAAACGAAACGAATGACCACGACTGGTGGGAACAGCAGCGTGTTGATAATATGGGGTTAGATGAGCTTGGGCAATTTGTCAAGTCTTTGGAACAACTAAGAAGTAAAGTGGCAGCAAGGGTGAACAAAGAGGAAAATAATGATCTTGCCATTGTTGCTAAGAGTGATGGTGCCAATCATCTTGAGGCAAGGATTGTTGACCCATTAACTGATCAGAGTGTTGTCAATGATGTTGCACCTCTCAATTTCTTCTTTGATGATGGCAACTTCTTTGACAATATGAATATAGGAGGGTTGATTTAATATGTTTTAATTGTTGTTGAGTTTTTTAGAGTTGTTTTATGTTATTTGAATACAACAATATTTTGTTTTTCTTATTATTTTTTCCATGAAATAAAACAAAACAGAAAACTTTGGTCCGTGACAGAGATGTATAGGAAATAGGGATATGTGTTCTTGTTAAAAAAAATAAAAACTTTTGGTTAATGTGTCGGCCAGTTACAGTAGTTGTCATCATGCAAAGATACGTTTCCATGGTGATTGATTGATTTCATTCATTCATCAGAAGAAGAAGCATACACGTGGGGAATCTTAGAGCAAACTCTTATGATGGACTCACTCACACCAAAAATAAATCAGTCACATTAATACATGCTAGTTCAGCTTCTAAATCTTTTGAGTTAAAATCAAAAGTGCTTCTCAGCTTCTGCTTCTGTCGTTTTAACCATATCCAAATCCAACTTGCTTTTCTGATGCTCTCTCTGCACCGCACCATTACCTCCTTCGAACTTTAAACACAAAGTTCAAGAAACCAATTCAATTCAAATCAACACACGCTTGACTAACCCTATTAAAACAAAGCACTTCTCTACTATAGTTGAGTGGAGAGTACTATTTAAATGTATCTTTAGTTTACTAAAAGTCTAAAACGCAGAAAAAGGAAACTAGTCTTTTATTAGAGTATCAATTATATACTCTCCACTCAACTATAGTAAAGTAGCCCCTTGAGAGGTATAATTCATTTGTAAAGAAGTAATTAACCTCACACATTAAAACAAAAAAAAAAAAAAAAAAAAAAAAGAGTAGAAAAATCAACCTCATTTTCTCTTCACTCCCTGCATAAACTAAAGAATACTTCTTCTCAGGGCCACCCAAACCCGGCCCACCATAAACACTAACTCCAGGAACAATTTTCCCATTTCCCAAATGAACATCAGCTGGGAAATCTCTATCAATAGTACCAGCACCAACAGAAGTAACCCAAGGAGCAACATTGGTAACAGTTAACCCACCAGGGCCATATAGAACTTGCACTTGGGACATCTTCTCCACTTCTTATTCTTGGCTAACTCCATCAACGTTATATCTTCTCTCTCTCTTTCGCCCTTTCTTAGTTTCTGAAACTCTCCACATCCCATTCCTTCATGCCATGAAACCTTACACTTAGCACAAAACAGCATAGAACTCGATGACCACTTGGGGATCAAAAATGTAATGTTTATGTGGCAGGGGTTACTAAAAGAATAATCCAAAAGTTGATATTTCCCATGCAAATTCGGATAACGGATTCCGTGAAGATCTGGATCCGTTCGAAAAAGATTCTAATCATGACAATTTGTCGGGTCGGATTCGAAAAATACCCCCAAAATCGATCGGATAATGTGTTTATACACACCTATTCATACGACCTATTAATACATCTTTTTGGTATACATTTCTGCACGAGCTAAGTTTCTTCCTTTATCACCATAGAAAAAAACAAAAACAGTAAAATTTATATAAAAAAATAATTAAATTTCAATGTAAGAAACAGCGTAACAATCCAACCTCATTCACATAACTTTTAGTCAAGGACGTTCAGATCTAAATTTCGCATAACTAATGTTTAAAGTTTGAACCGTTTGGTCTCATCTCTGTTTTAAATGATTGAAAAAATACGGTACATAAATAACATGCAATCACGCAAGACCTATAATTTTGGAATAGTATACGTCTAATCATCGAGAAACTTACAGCCGTTGAAAAAATGCAGAATTTCGTTAATGCATTAAGTAAATTGGCACGTGAAAAGCAAAACAAGGGGAGGACCACCAAGGAATTAGTATAATCACAAGACGGTTTCGTTTCTAAGTGGATTCATTTCAAGAACAGGGCTTAGGTCATTGTCTGTCTTTGTTCATTAGCAGGTAGTGATGAAAAGGATGGTGCAGGCAAACATCATTGCGTATCATTGTTATGTCACCATTCATTCTAGAAGCGGGCTCAATGATTCCATGTCTTGTCAGAAGAGGACTAGGTATCGAACTCGACATTTTTGGTGTGAAGACCTCCCTTGTTTAGGAGTAAAACCTTGAAGGAAAATAGACTAGAACTGCTGTTGTTTCACAGCTTAGGCAATTTCTGCGCCTCACTTGTTTGTGTGAAAGCCTGCTTGGCCATGGCTGAAAAAAGGTCTTAATTGGTCAATGTTTATCAGCCCATGAAAAGACAATATATTGAAAGATTTAAAGACAGAACTCCGGCTTTGTTCACTGAAGTTATGTGAATTTACCTCAAGTCCCATACTGCGATAATTTTTGCAGAAAAATAAGGGGATCCTAGAAAGTTACAGCTGTTTGATCTATACAATGTGAGCTAAGTATCAAATTACTTCTAGATTGCTGTTGTTTTCTTAAAGATTGGAGAATCTCCGACAAAGTAGTGAAAACATATAAAAGCTGGCCTTTTGCATATAGCTTTTGTTACAGACTTGCAGCACAATTCTGTTCCCCATAACATTATAATATTGACTTTGAATTGACTGGCTACCTTGTTGATGCTTGTCTACAGAATTTGAACATGAACATCATAATCATGGACCAAGTGAAACAGGGACTATGTTATGGGTCATGGCTACATAAGGGACATTTAACCGCTGAGTTGCTTCATCACACATAAATCTTCTTCTTCAACAATTGACATTGATTTTTGTCCCATCCTAGGGCACAAAATCCCCAGAATTCGCGTAGGATATATTTTTAAATGCAACAGCAACAGAACAGCCCCTTATCAGCATCGCAACGCGAAAACGCACGTGTCATCCATTTGTTGTGGCAATGAATGTAGTCATGAAACCCAATCTGAAAGCGAGGACTTCAACTCTCCACGATATTTCATAAGAGATTGTTGTGTCCATTACTAAAGGTTTGGAATTCAAAACTCCTAATAAGGATAGTAATTGAAAGCTTACCTGACCCGTTAATCAGAGTAGTCTCGGAGGAAAAAATAATCGAAATAAACGCAAAGCTTAACCGCGCATCCGATACCACAAAATCAAAGTTGTATGGTACAGAAGTTCTTTAATATATCTTTGGCTTAGACACAACACTAATGCTTGGAACCTGCGTCCAAGTCCTCTTTGTTCTTGCAAATAGACATGGGCTATTGATTATATATATATGGGACAATCAATTGAGAAGAGAAAGTTACCCCACATGATTTTGTCTTGATGAATGTCTGTCTCTGTAAGCACATACTTTTGTACTAGAATAACCTTCCCCAAACATGCTTCACCATACACACATAACAATTAATTTGGGTTGACAGAAATTTTCAACACACAACAGTTCAGTGAAGAAAACACCAAGCATATTCTTTATATTAAAACTTGAAAAAGACAGACCCTTTGCACTTAATGTCCTACTTCAATTCACACACAAGATTTTTACCACATGTGATTCTTAAACTGACAACAAAGATAAAACCTCTTTCACCTTCTTTTTCAAGTCAATCTGCGTTCTGAATAGAAAACACCATAACACATTAATATCATTATACATTTTAAAGAGAGAGATAGATTATTATAAACTATAAAAAGGAAGCAAAATTCCTAAAACCATAAACCCTATCACACAACAAAATAGAGATGTTGCTGGCATGTCACAACTAAGGGGATAGTGACATTATGCTTCACATCTGTCCACATTATGTGACCACTCTTCACTAGACTCCTGGAGAGGCTTAATGCCATGGCTTCAACCATAAAAGAAATTCAGTTCTGTCCCACCCGCCTAAACACAAGTTTCTACGGCTGGACTGTCAACTGCGGAACTTGTGGCCTGATTACGACTTTTGTAAACCGAAATTTGGCGTCCCAAAATTAGTCACAGTCCTAATAAATGTGTAGACCTCTTAGCTCACCTATTGTTGGAACACTGACAGACAGAGAAGGGTCTTCACATTCCCAACATGACCAGCCCTTTTGGCCCCTTTGCATCGCACTTCCCTTGTGATCACTGTGATATTAGTAAAGTGTAATTGAATTGCCCAGAAGTTCACATAATCATAGGAAAGTAGAGCATAATAAAACCGCGATTCCTAGCCTTTTGGGGTGAACATGACCAGCCAAAATCGAACACACGGTAGAAGTTTGCGGTGACTCATCAAGCATTGTGTTACACGATTTTCAACCGTATAAGCAGTGTCATAGTGCTGATCTTCTATGCTGCAGGGCCATTCGGGTGCGCCGCCTTAACAGATCAGCAAGGACCAGAAAATGTGGACAGCATTGAGTTTTTCCTAGAAAGTATATTGAACTGAGTTCTACGCTATCAGAAGGAACCCCAGATGGTTCCAAATTTATCGGCCAAGCTGCGAGTATATTCATTCCAGGAGCTATCACATCAGGTTTCAAAATCTCAGGGAATCTGATTAGGCACCTAGCATGAGAAAGCGGACACCACCGGAGCTGGCTTCACGTTAACTCGAGTCCCTTAAAAACAATAGTTGCTATTATTGGGTGTTTAGCTTTCTCGCATCTGAAAGTACTTCCTAATATATCACCACCTGAAGCACCGACCCGAAGTAGCCGGTAAAAGTGACAATCGGCAATAATCCTTCCCATCAAAACCCCTAGCTAAAATCATCCAATGCCAACCCGCTTTCTTCACAACCTCACCTTTAGCAGCTCTCGAATTTATCCCTCTATCACACAAACACGTTCCCCTCAACATAGTTAGGATCAGAGACCTTCTAAAACACAAAGAAGCTGAATAGGCATCACCCTCTTCACTCCCTGCATAAACTAAAGAATACTTCTTCTCAGGGCCACCAAAACCGGCCACCATAAACACTAACTCCAGGAACACAATTTTCCATTTCCCAAATGAAACATCAGCTGGGAAAATCTCGATCAATCGTACCAGCACAACAGAAGTAACAAGGAGCAACATTGGTAACAGTAACCACCCGGTCCACCATGACCAGCAGAAGCAGAAACAAAAACTCCGTGATCAGAAGCACCAAAAGCCCATAGCTATGCATCTAAATAATAAGTAACAACAACACAGCCACAATTAACGAAACAACACATCAACACCATCCGGAAAAACAGCCCTATAAAGCAGCTAAATATCGGAATCACAACAGCCAGCTCCAAACACACTTTATAAACAAGAAAGTCTAGCTTTTGGCGCCAATCCTATTTGCAAGCCCACGGGCGTTAGCCCAAAGTAGAAGCTGGAAACAACGTACCTTCCAGCAAATATAGAAGCTGTGTGGTTCCATGACGTCGAATCTCGGGAGACCGAAATCGGGAGGTTTCAGTCATTTTCCATTAGTCGATTCGTAGCCTTGGCAGAAAAAAACTGCACCGATACTTTTCTATTGCAACTCGAACTTGGGAAGGTCTTTAGCCGGACACATGGCCTTTCCATTGCGGGGACAGGACCGAGATCTCGGTCTATAAAGCTTTGTCTTTCGGGCCAATACCGGTGGCAATGACAGCGATAACGAGGGTCCGAACCCAAGTCGGATTCTTTCAAAAGGCCGCATGGCGGAGGTTTTTTTTAAAATTAAAAATATTAAAAAAAAACAGAAACTGAGGAGAACGAGTAGTGTGTGAAGTGGCGAACTTGTTCAGGAATGAGAGCACTGATATGGGGGGGAGAGTTTTTGAGTTGTTGAGCTTCCGAAGAAGGAGTCTAGCGGAGGAAGCCTGGAAGACAGATGTCGGAAGTGGGTAGAGCGAGGTGGAGGAGGAAAGGGAGGACTCGTACAGTGTTTGTGAGTTGGGGAAAAATTGAAGGGTGGGCCTTTGGCATTCGTAGGGGACTTGACGGACGTAAGTTTTATGGTGGGATCCTTATCAACATTAGCTGTGAAAGTGAAAAAGACGGAAAGAAGAGAACGAGAGAAGTGAAATGAAGAAGAGAAGAAGAAGGGTGACGAAGAAGAAATGGTGAGTTGAGAGAGAAGAGAAGTGAAATGAACGCATAAAGGAGAGAAGAGGGTATGCGGAATTGTGGATACAGTGCCGTTGGTACTGTGTTTATGTGGTGCCCAACGCTCACTCCTATTATTTTCAAATTTATTTCGATTCAATTCCATCCATTAACATGTTCAACCATGAATCAGAGAGCAGTTGAAAGCTTAAACTATAGGAAATCTTTTGTTTTTCTTTTATTTTTCATGGAATAAAACAAAACAGAAAACTTTGGTCCGTGACAGAGATGTATAGGAAATAGGGATATGTGTTCTTGTTAAAAAAAAAATAACTTTTGGTTAATGTGTCGGCCAGTTACAGTAGTTGTCATCATGCAAAGATACGTTTCCATGGTGATTGATGATTCATTCATTCATCAGAAGAAGAAGCATACACAGTGGGGAATCTTGAGCAAACTTATGATGGACTCACTCACACCAAAAATAAATCAGTCACATTAATACATGCTAGTTCAGCTTCTAAATCTTTGAGTTAAATCAAAAGTGCTTCTCAGCTTTTGCTTCTGTCGTTTTAACCATATCCAAATCCAACTTGCTTTCTGATGCTCTCTCTGCACCGCACCTTACCTCCTTCGAACTTTAAACACAAAGTTCAAGAAACCAATTAATTCAAATCAACACACGCTTGACTAACCCTATAAAACAAAGCACTTCTTTACAAATGAATTATACCTCTCAAGGGGCTACTTTACGATAGTGAGTGGAAAGTACATTTAGAATGTGAAACTTCAATTGGCCTTTGCTTGTGTCGGACACATTTACATTAAAATCTACTCTCTAGGATATCTAATTTCTTTTTTTTTTTAAAATCAGGGTGTTCATGTCAGCTGTACATACTCGATATCCCCCGCGATTCTAAAACTACGAGCTAGATAAGAGCTATAATTGTAACCCCTTATAGGAGCTGTAAGATTCGAACTTGAGAGATTATGTAAACTTAGATTCTCCTTTATCTTTACTATCAGGCTACAAGTACGTGCGTAGTGATCGGAATGCAATCTTTTACCATATGCAAACTCAAGTTAAAATTGGGTTAAGTTCTTAATGTGATTCTCTGCAATAAGTAGTTTTGATGTCGTTTATTCTGCAAAACTTTGTTGTTATGAAGGATTGAACTGGGAAAGCATTTGAAAGCAAACAGTTGCAGGATAGGCTAAAAACATCGAGTCAGCCACTTGCAAATGGCTCAAGCTCGGCCGGAACTCGACTCGTATTCGTTGAGGCGAGAGCTTCCCTCCCCCCTGGAGTTCCGTGTCATTTGTAGTTATATTACCGAGAACTCGAACTCGATTTGATTAAAGCTCGAATACTCGAATGCGATTTGAAGCTCGTATTTTCAAACTCGATATGAAACTTCATTCCGCAAAACGCGGACTAAAACTGATTATACGCAAGGGCGGATCCAGCTACTTTTGGCCCACCACTAATTTTATTTAAAAAAAAATACTAATATTATAATTTTTGACTCACCCACCCTGAACAAAAATATTAATGTGTAATAGTTTGTATTTTGGCCAATTCTAACAAAAATTGCAGGGATCACTACTAATAACGAACTCGAATTTTAATTACTGAATTCGAGTCGAAACTCAATTTCACAAGCTTATCAGGCTCGAACTACGAACTCGAAAAAACCATGGCAACTTAGATCCTTGTTACTTTTTATCACATACCACCCAAGCGTGATTAGGATATTCATTCTTCTATCATCTGCAACACTATTGTTAATAGTATAAATGCTTCTACATGTGATCTAATAACACTAAGATATGCTATCTAATGTCCTTTATCTGCAACACGTGTTATATGAATAATTTGAAATGGGAAGAATATTGAAGCAAACTGTGCAGAGACTTTGTTTAGTTTTTTTTCACCCCACCCATTAATGTTCCGCAAGCAATAATTTAAAGACTGTAAATTGTTCGGTGTGCCGTAATTAGGCTTCATGATTAGTATTCATGCAATAAATGTACCCATGCCAAGGTGATACCCCAAACTAATTCAACTAACGCTATAAAAAAAGATCAGTGCAATTGGCTCACAAGAATATTTAAAAAATTAATTTTAGTTTCTTATTTTTTCAATGCTGTCCAAAAATTCACAGAATGAGAATAACGGTATTCAAAAATGATATTAATATGTTTGTAGTACTGAAAATTTACATTTTTTCTTAATAAAAAGACATATGACATTAGCACCGTACAAAATTAAAAGCAAAAAAATTCCCATTTACAAAAAAACTAAAACCGATTTAAAAATTCGTATATTTGGTATTTTTTTTTTTTAGTGAAATAAAATTCTTATAGCATTCTTACTGTATAATTAATATATCTCAAAAATATGATTTAGGTTACAAAAAAAAAAAAACAACAACAAAAAAATCGTGGTGGAAAACGGAACACGGTCCATAATTCTTCTGAAATTTCAGTTTTGAACAATTAATATATGAAATGCAGAAAATTTTATTATGAAATAGATAATTGATACTCTATAAAAGACTAGTTTTTCTTTTTCTTCTTCCTCTCGCTCTCTCTCTCTCTCTCCTCCTCTCTCTCTCTCTATATATATATATTATTGTTTTGAAAGAAATAAGCGGACTCTTTCAATATCACAAAGATACAATATCTCTATTAAAAAAACAAATCATATAAAAATAGAGTATCTTATCATTCATCAAACTTTAAAACTCAAATGCTCAACAAATAAAAAGCTGAATAGGGCAATTTCAATCTATTAAAAAAAAATAAAAAAGTCAAACAGAAAAACGGACAATACAAAAAAAAAAAAAGATTCACTATTATACTTATTATTATTTTTTTTTTGTGATCGAGGGTGTCTAAGCCAGCTATACGGCACGAACTAATCCGTTGGAGCCCTAAGGAATAACCAGAGTAAAACTCAATGGCCGATCCTGCTAGGGACCGAGGAGAATTAAACTTCAGGACTTATTGACTAATACACTCAATATCCCCTATCACCCCCACATGGCCACCTTAAGGGTGCTTAATTTATTTGCAATTGTTAAGTAAGAAGTGAATTATTTACATATGTTAAATCGGAATTATACATATAATCCGTTTTTTCCTGTAGGCCTCTGTCGACCCTTACAACGTAAAATTTTGGTTTGAAAAAAAACTAGTGATAAAGAAGCGATATATGCGAAAAAAGAAACTTTGGGGAAAATATTAAAAAAGATTGACAAATTGAGCAATGAGAAAGAGGTAAACGGAAAGCCACATAGTACTGCGCCCTGGGGGAGACAGTTGGCATGGCCAGGGTTAGCAATCATCCTAATTGCCCATTTGGAAGAGGGAAGGCTGGTCCTCGGTGGGTAGGGTCCATTGCTACACAGATTACAAGATAAAGGAATATACAATTCTTTGAATGGGGACCATTTTTGCCTTCTTTCCAGGATGACATTTTGCAAATCCTTTTTCATCAACACAGACAGATAAAAGGTGGGGACTCTTGCTCTTTGCATATTGGACAAATTCCGTTCTCCTTTTCTCATTTGAAATTTCAAAAATTGAATTAAACAATATTTAGGCTAAATAGTCTAGCTTATTCCCTCCTCTCTCTCGCTCTGTTTTCATAACCAAAAACATAAATCCCTCAGACTATCTCATTCTGACTTTGGTTGTCAACCTAACTCATTGTCGTGAGGCAGAAATAAACCTTCACAGGAATGTAGATTTCTTTTTATCCAATCCCAACATCGAATTGTGAGATTTGAATATGAGATCATCGACTTTGCAAGTTAATATTAAGTTAGTATTGACCTAAAGTTTAAGTTATTAGATAAAGATCTGGGTTAATATTTAGTTTTTAACCTACAAGGGGATTATTAGCTTTAAAATTTTAGTTCCAAACTTTGATGTCACCATCACAATAATATTATATTATTTGATTATTTGAGTTTCATAGGGAGTTCAATGGTGGTCTTTTGGAA